TGACAATGAAGAGGAGCAGCAAATAGAGGAGCAGGCCTCTGCAGTACAGTAGTCTATGATGTTGAGCAACGTGGTGTTTCACAGACGCTCATTCGCATTTCATTTAAGATCCCTTGATAGTCCATTTTTCTGACGCCGTCCATAGCACGCCCTTCATAGAGAGCACATTTTAATAACGTCCATTCCTCGGAGGTTGAGAAGGGGCAGGCTTGGTAGTCGCCGGACGGGAATTAATGCACTTCTGACCATTGACAACGCACGACTCTGAATCATTTTTATTATTTTTTATTAATTTTTTGTACGCGTGCCTGGCAATCATGTCAAAAAACGATGGAGATACTGGTAGCGGCGCTTCTTGACGTGGGGTTTCCAGCAACGTATGATGTCACGGTAAAGAGAAAGAGAAAGAGAAGGAAGGGGCTTGGAAAGTTCGGCGGATGGTTTTTTCAGGGTATGACACGGTGCTCTTCTATCTTCTCTGTGATCAGAAAATCAAAATTCCGCGGACAATTTTTAAGTCTTCCACCCCTCGGGTCTGGCTCCATTTAAGGTAATTACCAGCATTACAGTTTTCGGCTGGGACAGGGGCTTGAGTATGGAACATTGAGAGCCAGAGAGGCTGCGATTATGACCGAGAAGGGGCCGACGAAAAAGAACGGGTAAAGTTAAGGTCTAGGATGGATGGTGATGAGTGGAAAGTGAGCTCCAATTCGATTGGATCTATAACATGACATGATCAGCTGAACGTGGAGCTACAGCTGCTGGGCAGCGAATGTTAAGGTTCCTTTACAAGTGGGTGTCCCAGGTACAACTACCAAACGAGGAAATTTTTGTAGAGGCACGAATAGAGTTGCATTTAATGTAAAAGAAAAAGTGTAGATTGATTTTTCTTTGCTTTATATCTTTGTGTCGTCCGAGGTTCCACAGCGATATCAGTTACTCGGGAACTATTTCCACGTACGATTACCCTGCACAAGTTGGCCGCACGTACTATACCTCTGGAGGAACGGTTCAGCAACCCATTCATAGGTTCACACCAACAAAGCTAAGCACATCTTAACATTCGTTTACATCTGCCTGTCAAGGGAGCAAGGAGGGAACGTATTTAGGGCAGCGGTGCGCACTCTCTGCCATTTTTACCCTTTTATCTTTCTCGAGTGCACCATGCAGTATCTGCATATTGGCGGATTGTTTCACAAAGAACCATGCACAAGCGACCAAGGATGCACACACGCAAGCGTACTCACGACACATCCATCCAAGCATTGCTGCATCGCCCGAAATAAAGGAGTTTTGGTCTTATGTGGCAGAATCAAGCATGCCACACATTTTGCCTATGATTCATCATAGTACACCAGACCTTGGTTATCAGGGAACTGCCGCTTTGAAATTTGAACAGGTGAGGCTGAATGTGTGCGCTCATGCTTTTTTTTTTTTTTTTTTTTGATGCGGTAACAAGGGCATAATCTTCGTTTACCTGTCCGTGTGTGTCGCTACTGGCCAACCGAGTTTGTTTTCACGTAACAATTTAACCTGGCACCTTGGAAGAGCAATATACGAGATCCCATCGGTATTTCTATGCTGCGAATATTTTTTATTATTTTTATAAAAACAGAGCAGTTTATGGGACAGAGAGGTAAAGGCGCATCTGGTGCAGGCGAGAGCGTGGTTCTCGTTCGGAGCATGTGGCCCACGTTGCGAGAAAATTTCCTGGCGCCGTTTAAAAATAATATAATATACATCTTCAACAAAACTGGAGGTACCGGCCGAGGCCTTTACGAATATATAAAAAAGATGGAGTAAGGATATTCATGTGCAAGAGGAGTGTTTTATCTCTGTAAGACGTATTGTTACCTTGTTAGCGCCCATGAACAAAAGCATATAGGGCTGTGTAGGATGAGGTTGTCCAGATATAGGCTAAGAGAAGAGATAGCACGTTTCTCACTCCTCGTAGGGGGTTCTCGGCAGCCAATGCACCAAAGGGACCCTTTTTTCTTTCATTATGAGAGACGGGGCTTGGATAGGTAGTTTAACGTGAACTATGTTAGCGTTTGCATTGTCAAGTCCTTCGGGGTTTGCCAGGCCAGCATGAACATTACCACATTTACGTCCATCGGATGCCCTTCTTGTGTTTGTTCGTCTTGTCGTCAGAGGATGGGGATGGACGTTGCAACTTTGATCGAGAACCTTAACTCAGCGTGTCCAGGGGCTACTTTTTGAGGCGTTGCTCTGATTGCATGCATTTTCCCATGGCGTTGATGAGCACTCGGCCAGATAATGAGAAAGCATAAGAAACCGTTCCGATTCAGAACATTGCAGAGTACGGAATTAAGGCATTGATACATAAGTGGCTGTGGCATATAGAGGTTAAAATAATAAAAAATAGGCGGCGAGAGAAACCAGAAGAACTTCAGATGCCATTATGCGTCAGAAATGCATGAATCATAAATACGAGGAAAATACTCAGTTGACAGAAGTTCTACAGAAGAAAAAAGAGAATCTGGCTATAACTGGGTATTGGTAGCTATAACACTGGTTAATTTACATTGCGAGACAAGGACGTAATTGCTCCTTGGACACTATCTGATCGGCCATACCCTTGAAGGTGATAAGAGTTCATTGCAGTTGTTTATTGCTCGACCCAGCGCACGATGGCATGCAGGAGTGCAAAGGTCGCTCATCTATTGGCTCTAGGTGCCGCGCGAGCACTGCAGCAGATATTTCGTAGCTTAAAAAATAAAAACTGCGGCCCGGGAAGTGAGCGAGATAGGAGTAATGTGCTTATGGTATGCGAATGATCGAATGAATGACTATGTAGGGAAGCTAGTAAGCGGGGAGGACGAGTAGATAAATTGATGTGGAGTGTGAGCGTGCACTCATGCCAATCGGAGAGGAGACATTCCTTTCTATTAGGCAATGGCGGCAGTAACAGCAGCGGCAGCTGGTCTTTCAGTGCATGGGCATTGTTGAATGTGGTAGACTAGCCCACTGCTTTATCGCTTCAAGATACGTTAAGTTGTAGAAATTACGGTAATTCTGAATCGAATGCTCTCACAAGCAAGAAAAAAGTATTTTAATTCCTCGCTCCCGTTATATTCTTAAGAAGCATGCATGTATGCCACGTCGGTGGTGGAACATGCCATTGTCAAAACAAGTAAAAGGAAGGTACACACCGCCCACCGTTGCCGACCCAATTGAGTTTTCTATTCAGTCGCCCTATTCATTTGCCCTACTCACCCTTACCCTTCGTTCTTGTCGCTAAGCTGCTGCTCGTTTTCGTACAAATAGACAACAAATCGCCGTCTCCTCTTTCCCTCCCTTTCCCAACCTCACCCACCCATCCTCTCTTTCTTCCTTCTCTCTCTCTCTCTCTCTCTCTCTCATACAACCTCACACTTTCTGTTCCTCGCTCTCGCTGTTTCATCGCCCGTAACGGCCTCTCGCGTCAGCACCTTCGCATCCTCTCTCTTTCCCTGTCTTCTATTTGCACGAGCAGCCGATCTATTCCAGCAGGAACTGCGGCTTCGCCATCTCTCCTTCCACTGATACCTTCATTGTCCACCACACCCCCTCGCCCTCGCCTTCTTTTGCCCCTCCTGTGCCTTTATACCCATCAGTCCCCTCCCTCCTCGGGCTCGGCCCTCTTGGTACTTCTTCAGAAGCACTCTTTTCCGCACTCGTTCCCTCCCTCTCTCTCGTCCTGTTTACTTTTCTCACCTAGATCTCAGTCACCAATGCTCTCCGCGGACTTCCCCTCCGAGTTGTTTCCATCTTCTCAATTGCCCCTTTTTACGCCAACCTATCCGTCTCCCGATATCTCCAGCGCCTTTGAACACAGCTCTAGCGACCTTCCCTCAAAACACCACAGCCAGCCTGATCTCTTTATCGGTGGTTTGATGTCACCGACCTCATCTATCAAGGAACTGTCCGATTCTATCGACGACGACGACGACGACGAAGAGATGGACGAGTACGATATCTTTGCCGCTCCTGGCCACCACGTCAATGACCAGCAGCTCCAGATTCCTCAGACCGAGTGCAAGTCCATGACACCACCAATGACCCCTCTTCAGGTCCTCCGGCCGACACATCGTATGTTCACAAAGAACGTCTTTCATGTCCCTTCAATGCCGCCACCACAGCGGCATCCTTATAGCGGACTGGCGCCTGTTGACATCACACACATGCACCCATCACTCCAGCTCCAGCTCCAGCAGAATCCTCTGCAGCAGCACTTTCAAAACTCTCAGTTCCTAGCCTCGGATGTACAGTTGCAGCAGCAACAACAGCAACAGCTACAACAACAACAACAGCAGCAGAACATGATCTACTCTCCCTATCTTCAGTCGACGGTCTCTCCACAGACTATCCCAGTCGCCCTTCCGCCATACTGTTCATACGTACCCGCAATGCAAACCCAACAGCAACGCGGTTCTGCCTCGCTGCATTACTACCTTGCTTCGTTGGAGCATCCACAGCAATCGCTGCCTTTGGATGGCTCCTTCCAGCGCCCTACTCTTCAGAACACTGTACCTGCGTTTGAGCAGAATATGGATCTGTTGATAGTTCCAAAGCTGGAGGGCTGCAGTGGAGCCGATCCATCGTCTTTGCTAGTGTCTTCGGCGCCTTCGTTGGTCCAATCACCCACCTTGTCCTGGGCTTCTGTTTCGCGTGAAGCCTCCCCAGCTTGTGCACCCATCATGCCCGTCTACAAGCGAGTGAACTTCCGGTCTCCTAAGAAGCGCTCGAGCTCTACGTATTCTAGATCTGGAGCCAAGGTCTCGAAGACAAAGGGCCAGCTTTCTGCTAACGATAACACAGACATCCCATCGTCATCCACGATTAAGATCGAGATCATGACTCCGTCGACTCCTGCACCATACGGTCCCTCAGCCATGTTAGACGATCAAGAAAGGGAGTCCTTGAATGAGCCTTTGTCCTCTACTCCAGCCATCGGTGTGCCTGCCAAGCGCAAGCGCAGGGTTCGCCAGGTCAAGGCCAAGGTTAAACCCACGTCCTTTGTATGCGAGTCCCCCGGTTGCGGCAAGATTTTTTCACGGGCCTATAATCTGACTTCGCACATGAAGACCCATTCTGACGAGAAGCCCTTCTTGTGCGGATCGTGCCCTCTTGCCTTTGCAAGACGCCATGACCGCGAGCGACACGTTCGATTGCACACTGGCGAGAAACCTTACACGTGTGAAAGCTGCGGTTGTGGCTTTATGAGGAACGATGCCCTTCATCGCCACCAACGAATTTGCGGACAATCTCCGGCAGTATTGATGGTATTATTACAGCAACAACAGCAACAACAACAACAGCAGCAGCAGCAGGGTCAAGGTACTAAGTATCACACGTCTACAGGATACGAGGTCAATTTCCCCCAAGAAAACTAGTGCATTCATTTTCAGCTTCATATCAACACTTTCTTTTGTTTCCAGTATAGTTCCTATTCTTTTCTCATATCCCATGTACATTATCTATATCAAGTTTTATAGCATATCCTTGTTTCTCTGGAACAGTAAGCAGCAGCCATATCATATATCATCATAACACGCTTGCGCTTATAGACTATTTGTCCTTGATAGTGCTCATTTGGCTGATGCTTAACGAATGTAAATCAGATGCTAAGAGACCTACGACACCTCATAGCCTACACATTGCACGCGTTTATGATGGCTGGGGAGCTCGCAAGCAGTTTGTATGGTGCTTGCAGGTCATTTGGGGATAGGATATGGAGGTGGGGCGTGTTATTGCCATCCCAGGGCGTATGATTTTCCCAAAATGTATTTTGAGTTGGAGTTGTGTGCTCGATCAGCTCCCCGCAAGGATGCTGAACCCACTTTTTTTTGGTCGCGAGAAGGTTTGATTTGCTATTGCTTACAGATTCACGGCGGATTCCGGCGCCTTTTCTCCTCTGTGGTCTGCACTCCTTGGAAGCACGAACGTGGACAGGCAGGAGTGCTGCTGCTCTTCGTCGTTGTCGTTGCCACTCGTTCGCCTTCCTTTCACCGCCCTTGTCTCCCCACACACACTCTCTCCTCATCTCTGCATTCACACCCACACTCCACTCATTCCTTCATTCCTCATTCTTAACCCACTCTCTCCCGAAAACAACCAGTGTTCACTTTGTTCTCTCGCTCACTGCTACATAGCACACTCCAGGTGGCCATACTTCTTTTCTCCCCTTCTCTTCTCTTCTCTTCTCTTCATATCAATGAGCCACACATCCTGACAACGGCACTCCCAGCACCACTACTCCCCCCCTCCTCTTCCTTTACAGTCAATTGCACGTCTCTGACCCTTCAATTGTCCTCCCAACTTCACCCATTGCTCCTGCCAGCCATTAACTACCACCCTTTGGAGCGACAGACGCTTGTGCCTGTTGTCCAACCCCAGTACCTGCCAGAGAATACAAAAAGATACTCTCGGACCCACACCTCCTGCAGAACGTGCCCCTATCCACGTTTTTAAAGGCCATGGTCCCATCCTCAACCCCCTCGCCATCTGTCCTCTCTATCCCACATCAACCTCCATCCTCATCCTCATCTATATCATCCCAGGTACAGATATCATCCTCACCACTAACATCAGCCATGTCTGTTGTCGGTGGTACCATATCGTCGTCTGCCTTATCCAGTAGTGGTGCCACAGCAGGAATTACTTGTGGAGCTCAGTCCACCTCTTCTTCATCCACATCAACTCCCCCGCCGTCGCCGCCTCTTTCGGCCTCTGCAGAGGATCGTCCGTCCAAATCGAAACAGATGATCCTCCTCCCAGCGGGGAATGCCTTGACGGGACACAACGGATCTGGAGAGCACCGTCGGGATGAGTCCAAGGCTCAGACCCAGGTGGGACAGAAGAGTGCGGAGGTGGTAACCATATCTGCAACGATGAGATCGAGTCTATCTCCCGGGAGTGAGGGCGCAGCTGAGCAGCGTGATCAGCAACAGCTGCAGGAGGAAAGGCGGCCGTTCCGTGTAACACCTCTGTCGCCACTAAACGGAATTGTGGATGCGACAGCGACAGCGACAGCAGCAGCAGCAGCGGCTGCCGCGGCAGCGTCGTATACGTCCCAGGAACTTGCAATTGCATTCTCGATGGTGACCTCGACTCGGGAGCAACAACAGCAGCAACAACAGAGGCAACAACAGAAAGAGTTGACTATGAGACATGAACAGCAAGGTACGAACATATTACACGCTAGCGTGGATGGTTGGTGTTGTTGTTGCTATAGTTTGTTGTTCATACATCCCCAATCCCCACCCATTACACAAAGTCCTAAAAGAGGTGCTTTTTACCCCGCATTTGCTCCCCTTTGTTTACCTGGAGGGCGAATTTCCCACCGTGGATGAGGGGTGATGATGGAGATAGGACAGGATGACAGGGGTGAATTAAGCCCGAGTCAGTGTTGCATGGCATGAGATGGCATTGCATGTGTGTATGGGATTGGTTCTGGATGGGGGCTGTTCACTGTTCCCGCTACCCTGGCGCCCTTTATCGGGCTCAGAGTCTCTGGGGAATATGAACGGGGGCCTATGTGTTCTTGTAGGTCGTTATCATCGGAGTAAGGGGAGGCACGCTGTTGGTCTGCGATATGAGGTGCTCCCCTCCTCCTCTTGCTTTCCCCCTTTCCCTTCTTCCTTTCTTTCCCAACAACTTCAACCGCCATCGCCACCATCACCAGCCCCTGCTCTCCGTCTTTATTTCCTCCAGCTGTTGCCACTGTCCCACCTCCGCTATTTAATTTCATATGGAGGTCAACAGCGCAGAGGACCATCCCTCTGACCACCATCCCCACCACCGCCACCACCACCAGCCTGGATACAGCGCTGCCTCTACTGCCAAGCCTACCACTACTACTACTGCCGCTACTATTACCACTGCCACAACCACTGCCACAACTACCGCGACTGCTGTCGTCCAGCAAGAGCAACAGCATGGCCATGCTCGACTACCGCAGGAATACGCCGGCAAGCACCGCCACCATTACCAACCGTTATCCCCGCAACAGCAACAACAACAACAACAACAACAACAAGGACATGGACATGCACATGAACATGGACAGCAAGGGCATCAGGAAGACCGCCGTCCGCATCACCATCACCACCAGTCTTATTCCGACAGGGACTCGAGGATGCCACTACAGAGCCATCCCAATCTTAATCAACGTACACAACCTCATCACCTCGATCACCCACGGACGACAGCAGAATCAGCACCAGCACCATACTCTCACGAACAACACCCTCGTTCGCATGGTCATCCTGCTGCTCTTCAGTACAGCCAGACCGAAGGAGATCGCAACCACGTGAATGGAGACAGCAATAGCGACGCCCTTCTTGTTGGGCGGCAAGATAGGGATCTTGATCGGGAACGGGAGCGAGAGCAAGAACGGGAGCGATACGACTACAGCAGCAAGCTGGAACAGGATCATGTTGGTGGCAACAGCAGTGGCAGTATTGGTGGCAACAATAGTGGCAGCAGTACAGGGCACACAGGGCAGCATCAGCATCCTAGGATACGTTCAGCACCACACTCTTTTCATTCTTATCCTATCGGACATCCTTCATACTCTTCTGCCACAGTCTCACACCATCCTAATGCCCTCAACCGATATCCATTCTCTATCCCCTCCATTTCAGACAAGCTGAGCCAGCCGGCTCCAGATGATGGAAACGATGCTCTTTCGTCTCTGTGGAAGGTAAGCCTGCTACATTTGGACGCTCAGAAACTGCTCATTATCATTCCAATTTTGTCCCGGGCACAAACGACCTCTCATCTTCCGGAGACTCCCATGCACACACTGCACAGACACATTAATTGTTGCTCTTATAACACAGAAAACGACGCCGATCCAGGAACCCTACTTCCAAACGCGGCACACAATCGCCTCGCAACACACGCTCTCGACACTCGGAGGAGGTAAGGGTCCAAACTGCCTGCACTCCTGGAGCGATGGTAAGAGTTCGATCAATTGGTACTAATTGTTCAATCGCTCATTGTGCTGTATCAACCTTATAGTGCTATTTTCGCTGGATGAAGTGCCACTGGAGTTCACACAGGATATGTATATCGCTATGAGGAATCGCATCTTTGAATTAGAGGCAAAATCAGTCAACTATTCACCATTTTCATCTTCACGGAAGCGATCTCTCGACAGAACTGGCTTTGATGTCTATCCTGATCGCTTTGGGCCCGACTACGAATCAGGATACTACTACAAGCGGCCAAGTTATGGATATCCTCCACACTCATCCTCTCGTTCACATGGTCCACCCGATGACGGCCGACCGCTCTCTCCAGTCCACAGATATTCATCGTCCTATCCATCATGGTATACTCCAGAGGTGTACACCAATGGATCGCGTTATCCCCCTCATCACAGCAGACGCCCATCAGATCGCGACAGAGACTACCGTCCCTCAGGAACACATTATTACGATCGTGATTCACGTCCTGGATCCCGTCCAAGCTCCCCTCCGCCTGGCAACAGTCCTATGGCGATGCCTTCTACGCGCTCTGCTTACAGCCCTCCGCCTCCTCTATCTACATCTTCCAGGCCGCCGGAGCACCCTGGCCATCCTCATCCACATGGTGCGCCGCCACAGGAATCCCGCCCACCTCACCATCCTGACGATAGGACTCCTCAGGGCCCTTCACATAATGGAGCATACCCCACAGGCATCCATTCACACTCAGCACCACTGTCTCTCACTCAGCAACAACCTGGCCATGCTCCTCGTCCCCATCATCCACAGCATCCCATAAAACCCCATACTCAGCCTCCAGCTCATCACCAATCACCTCCCCAGCACCCTTCACACGGTCAACAACATCCAGCGCAACCGTCCCATGGATACCCATCGAGCCATCAACAGCAACCGCACCAGCGACAAGTAATACTGCCCAATGAAGCAGCTGGCGAAACAGAGATGCGTCAGTCCATCCACCAGCAGCGGCACAGAGCACAGCAGCAAGCACAGTCGGCTCATTCAAGGTCTTATCATCTCCACAAGCATATGCGCATGCTGGATCAGCAGCGTGCGGCGCAAGCGGTGACTCAACAGCAGCAGCAACAATTGCAGCAGCAACAAAAGCAGCAGCAACAACAACAGCAACAGCAGCAGAAACAGCAGTTTCGACCGATCCAGAGGCATTATCAACCCCATCAACAGATGTATCCAGTCCACAACCAGCCGATTCCTATCAAACCGCATCCACAGCCACCATCGCAGCAGCCGCAAGTGCAACCTCAACCTCAAAAACCTCAACAACAACAACAACAACAACAGCAGCAACAGTCTCAGCAGCCTCAAATGTCCGCACTTCGAGCAGCTCTTCTGCCAGCTCAGCAGCGCTTGACACAACAGCAGCAGATGTTGCAGCGATACCAACAACATCGCCAGATGCAGCAGAAGCAGCAGCAATTGCGTCAACTGCAGTACTTACGCAGCCGCCAAGCAGGGTCCTACCCCACACAAAAGAATCCGCACAACGTTACAGCATCTCCTGGATCACACTCTCCAACCCCACCCCGGGTTTTTGGGCCGCAGGTGGATCGACCAATCAAAAAATCGACCCGACCCCTGGAGTGTTCAAACTGTATGGCGCTGGATTCGCTGGCCTGGAGGCCCAAGGCCGAGCTGCAGATCGTTACACCAGATGGTTCCACACCCTCTGGGGCACCCCCGGAATCCGCAACAGAAAGCAAGATATTATGTCCAGCGTGTACACAATATCTGCAGATGCATGGAAAGCCCAGACCTGTGCCTCCGTTCCGCGCCAACTTTCTGAAAAAGATTCACACTCGCTTCAAGCGAGAACTGCAGGAGGTTCGGTTCCAGGGATGGCAGGATGCGCAAGTGCTTGAGATCGAGGACCGGATGGTGGAGCGTGAGTTCCAGATGGTGTTCAATGGATTGGACGAAGGCGATGCGTCTTTGATCCAAAATGAGCAATCGTCCGGCACAGGATCGCCGGCCCCACCCGCCCCTGTAGCAACGGTTGAAGTCTTTGCTTCTACCCCCAGTGAAAAACCTTCTGGGGAGAGCACGGCTATTCCTTCCACTGCCAAGGAACCAGAGACCATTATCATCAAGATTGAGGATGATGATGATGATGACATGCCTTTGAAGACATCGGAGCCAGATCATGTGGAGGTACGTACATTTCAAAGCGAGGCGTCTGTCGGGGAACTCTTTGGTCATCGATGGAGGACTGAGCCCGTGGTCGGATATACGCTGGTGCATTTCGGTGGATCGGACCGTACCCGCATGGTACCCATGAACCCCACGGTTCCATCCCTGAGTAAGTATCGATGCTTGTGTTCGTATTGCATAAATGACTATGTTCTTATTGCCAAACTTTACTGACGATTGCTTACTATGTTTCCATAAATTTGCAGCTGTGACATTCAATCGGTCGACTTCGACGATCACCTTTGCGTTCAGAGTTCTCGTCAATGGATTGTGTTTGCTTTCTTCAGGAGGAGGTCCACCTGCCCTGCATATGCCGGAAATGGCAGACGACGAGGAATCGGAAGGTGAGGAGGAGGTCGTGATTGTCCCGGATAACGATAAGGACGACCCATCGCCCTCGCCACCAGCAGCATCATCGGCAGCAACAACTACGTCTGATGCACCGACGGGAACTAAGGAGGGTGTTGTTAATTCTACTACTGACGTCTCGGAAAAGAGCTTGACGGCGACTGAGGCGATGAGCATGGATGTAGATGAAGTCGGCTCCAAGAACATATAAGCAGAGGGTGCCCCTTTTTTTCTTCCTAATCTTTCCAAGAGGCACTGTCCACACAGCAGCATTTGTATCAGCTAATCTCCCTGTGTATGTTTTTTGTACTTCTAATCCTTAATACAATTTCTCTTATTACTTCTGCCTTGTATGTACAATACTTCGTATCCCTTTTGCTTGCAATTTGTAAAGCGGCTGTTGAATGAATGTTTATATGTTTATTGCAAGTTGCAAAAGTTGTTTGTTCTAATGGGCGCTCTGTTACTCTGTTAATCTGCTAATCCTGGCTTTGCTTTCCCCCCACCCTCTTTTGATGCATGGTATGAACATGTTCACTAGTTTCCAAAAAAAAGTGTCCTGCGGATAAACTATCGCTTATCCTGACGGCGAAAAAAGAAAAGGAAAAAAAAAAAACCATCCCGAAAGCCTAAGATCAAACACTAAAGGAAGACTCTGAGGGGATGGGTTCCTTTGGATGTTTCGCTTCCATGTGCTGGACGATCAGCTTGTAGTTGGCGATCATCAACTATTGGACAATCAAAATAAATTGTTCAGAAACCAAAGGGGTGATTTGGTTATCAGTCGAGTCTCTGACTGAAGGCGTTACTCCGAGGAAAAGATGGGGTAGAGGAGGACGGACTTACCATGCACTTGGGACACTTGAACTTGTTGCCCTCGACCATGGCCTTCAATTGACTCTTGGGAGGTGCATTGGCCGCGGCACGCTTCTCGGCGTTGGCTCTATAGGATGAGAGCAGATGGCGATGGAGCGGGAGGGGTGAGTGTCGGGTCTGCTTGGTTTGGTGAATCAGCGATACGAAGCAGGCAGGCAGGACGGGATCCTGTTGTCCATAATTGCTTTGTCTCTTCTATATCCAAGGTTATGGTGGCGCTGTTGTTCCTGGTCCAAATCGAGCGGCGCTAGTTCTAATTCTCACCTAGCTTGTTGCTAAAAAAAGAGTATGGAAGAAAGCTGTTAGGCGAAGACGTTCCTGGCAACGAGTCGATATGATACCTAGACAGGTGGAGGGGGACGAGTGCACGGTACCTTTTGCAGTCCGCGGGTCATGGCGAGCGAGGGAAAAATATATATGTCGATTTGGACAAAGAAGGTGGGTTTGGTCGGATGGATGATGGCGAAAGCAAGCGATGCCGAGAAGGGAGGGTTTCTTTTCTTTCGTTTTCCCGAAATCGTGGCTTATTGGATCTTGACTAGCCGGAGCTGGTTGGGTTGGGCAGGAGGAACTGTGGAGCGCCCTTGATCTTAAGATCAGCTCAGGGGCAAGACAGACAGGAACCGCCAAATCAGGACAAGGACGAACCAAACCATACAGTATTCAGAATGTTTGTTGGAATCGTTGGATCATCGTGCAGCGGAAAGCACGAGGTGATGAATCAACTCGCATCGCTTTACGGCTTCACGCGGCTGTACCTTCAGCTCTCGACTTCAACTTTGTCCTCAACGTCGTCCAATATTAGCCAGCCTCGTAATGGATATACTCGACCACAGAAGCAGGATCAGAAGCGGGATCAGAAGCAGGAAGATAAGGAGTTCAGCTCAATCGAAGCGATGCTGGACCACGTTACGCTGAACTGGATGCAGCACTTTGTCACCTGCGACGTCCAGACAGTTCAAGGGATCGCTATTCTTCGGAAGCGTCCCTTCTTCTTGTTGTTGTCCGTCGAAAGCCCGATGATGATGCGGTATCACCGCTGCGTCGCCCGGTAAGATCCAATGGCTTCGAAAAAATGTATTAAAGCGGACGAAAATCAATTACATTGAAGTATAGGGTGCTGACATGGTGCGTACTTTTGGGGGTAATTTGTAGGACCCAGGCGCAAGGAAAGGATGCTCCGACACTGGAAGAGTTTGTAGAAGCGACGGATACGGCACTTTATAGCACACCCACAACCGCGACGACGCCTACAGCGTCCAGATCGCTTTCGGTGTTTCCAATACGATCTCTGGACTCGGAGCAGGATGTAACACCACTACCATCTCTTGAAGATACCGTTGACCAGTCGCGCTCGCTATTATCCTCACCCAACCCTGACTCTATCATGTCGCCCTCACTGTTTCATTCGCATTCCTTCTATACTTCCCCGCCCTACAAACTCCTCTCGATGTCCGACCTTTCGCTCCTCAACAACCATTCTGATCTCGTCTCCCTCCAACAGTCTCTCATTTCACTTGATATTACAAATCCGGATCTGTTGCGGCCCTCTTGGGATTCTTATTTCATGTACCTCGCGAATCTGGCGGCACGTCGATCGAATTGTATGAAACGGCGGGTCGGTTGTGTGCTCGTGCGAGAGAAACGAGTGATCGCGACAGGATATAATGGCACGCCGAAGAATCTAACGAATTGCAACGACGGCGGATGCTTGAGGTGTAATCAGGCCACGCCCTGTGGAAAGGGACTGGACCGGTGTTTGTGTATGCATGCGGAGGAAAATGCGTTATTAGAGGCCGGGAGAGAAAGAGTTGGTAGTGGAAGTACGATCTATTGTAACACTTGTCCGTGTTTAGGTAAAAGAAGCTATGTTCTGAAGGCATTGATGCGTCGACAGAGCGGGCTCTATTCTGATACCATTACCCTCTTTTTTTTTTTCTTTTTCTTTTTTTTTCTTTTTTGGGTCTCTTCTGTAGGCTGCGCCATTAAAATTGTTCAGGTCGGGGTCAGCCAGGTGGTGTATTCAGAGTCGTATGGGATGGACGATCTCACAGCTGAAGTGTTCCGGAAAGCTAAGGTGGAGCTCCGTCAGCATGCCACTCCGGGCATAAAGCTCGATCAATCCAGTCCATGATAATATAGATATCGTATAATAAAAAAACGAATACGTGTTATTGCTTCAAAGAACAATAAAGGGTCACTTTTTCGTTTGCTTGAAAGTGGCCACTGGTGATCTTCCATAACACGAATATGTAGCTCTGCGAGCAAAGGACGACAGAGAAGAGCGAGTGAAATATGCACTGCCACATTGGACAGGCCATGGCCCACATCGCCAGGAAATCTTTATCTTTATTATTAGATTTGATCGTTGGTTTTTTTTTTCCCTTTAAGTAGGACGACGTTTTCATTCTCAAAGAAACCAACGTTCACAGCATGACCACCAGCTCGCGCCGATACCCTAGAGCTGTTACCAATCCCATTTTTCTCTTTCCACAAGAACTTCCTCCCGTGGTCTTGGCCCATGATGTCTCTCTCTCCATGCCGTCCCAAGTCCTACCGCCAATGGAAGTACCCTTTCACGCTGCATTGGATCTCGATGCGTCTGATGTTCAGCTCGAGCGATCGCTCATGCCTGATCTCCAAGAAGATGACAACAATGCCATTGAAAGCTACATTACGTCCTTCCCATGTATCAAAGTTCTTTCCGTTATTGCACTATTCATGTCCCTGTGCTTTTACTTTGTCCTTTGAGCCAACGCCAGTTGACAGTAAGATGGACCCTGCCCCTCGCCCCTTTTAGATATAAAATCACACAGACCACAGAATTTCAGTTGTACCTGAAATTCCGTTATGATTGGGCGAATGGGTTTCTAGAAATAAGCAATACGCACAGACACGCTAGAAGCCTGCATGCCGAACCCACGCTCATAAATTTTCTTTCTCACATAAACGGCTACCTATTGTATGAATACAACGTGCAGCTTGGTAGGAACTGGAGTCTTCGTACTTAGCTTTACGATTAGCATGTTAGGATACGATTGTATGATGCAAGTTTAAGAGCTGTTTGCGCTCTCTCGATCAAAATGGGTCAAAGGCAGGTCTCCTAGGGGCGCTTCGTTGGGCTGATGTGGGATCGTGCTGTGGCGAAGGCTCAACTTCAGATTTAGAAGGAATGGGTTCAAGTTGTGTCTTGAAGTCGCGGTGGTAAAAAGGGTGCTTTATTTATTCATAGTCAAGCAGACAGAAAAAAGTATGATTGAAAAGATATCTTTATTTGATGCAGAAATCTTCCTGCTCCATCCATCATTATCGCCCAGAATCATTGATCTCGTTGCCATCTCGTATCGCTGCATTTCGTATCGCCGATGTTCCTAAGGTACTCAAAAAAAAGAGAAGATGCCGCCAGTATTTTCATCCTTATTGTTCAGCTTCCATTGTCCATGTAAAAATCTTCTCACCGTGAAAGCCCACCCCTTTCCCACAGACCTTTAAGGCCGACCTTGATCTTCCAGACTTCTGCCCCGAAGGGTCGTGAGCCGGGTCATGCAGACTTCTGCTCCGAGGAGACCTGAGTCGCGTCATCCTTGCTTCTGTCCCCGAAGAGAACGTGGGCCGGGTGTTCCTGAATGTGTCCAGTACATCTCGATCCTGCATACTTCTATACTATCCTGATGCTACGTCATGCGGCCCCTTCATCCGTAGATGGTGCGGGTCGCGCCATGCAGACTTCTGCCCCGAAGGGTCGTGAGCCGCGTCATGCTGCCCCTTCATCCGTAGATGGTGCGGGTTGCGCCATGCAGACTTCTGCCTCGAAGGGTCGTGAGCCGCGCCATGCCACCCCTACGTGCTAAGACGGTGCGGGCTGCGTCCTGTATAATCCTGATCCTGCATGCTCCTATACTATCCTGATACTACGTCATGCGGCCCCTTCATCCGTAGATGGTGCGGGTCGCGCCATGCAGACTTCTGCCTCGAAGGGTCGTGAGCCGCGTCATGCTACCCCTACGTACTGAGACGGTGCGGGCTGCGTCATGCAAACTTCTGCCTCGAAGGGACGTGGGTCGCGTCATCCTTGCTTCTGTCTCCGAAGAGAGCGTGAGCCGGGGATAGGTGCTGGGTGCTGAAGATGGATGCTGGGTGCTGGGTGATGAACGATGGGTGATGGGTGCTAGGTGATGGGCGATGGGCGATGGGTGATGGGTGATGGGTAATGGGTGATGAGTGATGGGTGATGGGTGGTGTGTAGTAGTGTATTGTTGGTTTGTGGAGAGGGTGTCCGTGCGCGTGGGTTGTTGTGCTGTGTGAGGGTTGGTTCTGTGGAGAAGTGTGGGAAGACAAGAAAAAGTATGTCAGAGAAGGAGAAAGTCAAAAGTGAAGGCGGACATGTGTAGAGTGACGTGAGAAAGTAGAGAGTGGAGATGGAAAGTGGACGTGAAGAGTGTACGTGCAAAGTGGATGTGGAAAGTGGACGTGCAAAGTGGTAGAGGGTGTAAGTGGAAAGGGCAAGTGGAAAGGGCAAGTGGAAAAGGCAAGTGGAAAGGGCAGGTGGAAAGGGGCGGAAAAAGAGATAAAAGTGGGCTTATGAATATTACTTACCTTGATAGCTTTGTTGCTGTCTTGCGCCCAGTTTTATCCAGTCGATCCTGTAGGAGACATCAGATTAAGAGGTGATGGTGAAGCTGAAGCGAAAGAAGAGAACGCCTCCTTTTATAACCCCCTGGGACAAGTCACTCCCAATTGACCGTGGTGGGATCCTCGTTTTTCTAATTGCACACAGTAGCCACAGTTAGGCCTTGAAGGACTAGCAAAGGCAGTTGAAATTGGCGGTCACGTTCTGCCTATCCGTATGATATCCAGGGTGTAATAGCAAGCAATGGGTGCTTCAATCCACCCTCCTTGGACTCCAGATGGAGTTTTTCTACGATAATTTCCTCCGGTCAAGGCAGGGCTCATTTTCAGGCGTAGACACTTGTTTAGGTTAAGCATCTTCCCACCAACTTTGCTCAGCATGACCTAAACACAGATCGGCCTATGAGCATGAGAGCAAATAGGAGTATGAAACTTAACCACATCAACAAAATAAGATTGAACCGCACACAAGAAACGTGCTTATCTTCTTCCTTCGCGTTTGATCTTCTCGTCATGCATGTATGCATTAATCAAATTCACGGTTTTGACCGTGTTATATAACTCTCAATGAAAAAAACACCTCCTCAATACTAACGGTATCCCCTCGGTCCCCAACGTTAATGAGGACCTAATTGAGTCCAGGTGGCAGTGCCTTTCCACATTTTATTTTAAATGAACTTCATCGCGACAAAGATTGGGCATTTCTTCATCATCACCCTTCGATCTCGCTTCAGAATCAGCGCCTTTCACATCGAAACATATCATTGTCTCCACAAGCACCAGTTTGCTTATGTCAGCCGAAAACGTTTCTCTCAATATTCACTTCTTCATTCTCATCCAAAATCACATCATCCCTGGATCTCATTCCTGACCTGACTTTCCGCAAAATGAAGCACGGCATCGTCTTCGCAGGCACCGATTTAAAGCACATTTTCAAAATCGCCATTTGCCGGCCATTACTTTTAAATGGCACACAAGCAATATCATGCCGTGTCTGTCATGTACCAAATGAAGGAAAAGGCATTCATAACCCTATTATTTTTTATTTAGGCTGTGGCCGGTGTAAGAAGGAGCGCCGTGAGAAGAAGGCCGATGAACAGATCGCGAACGGGCAGGCAGCAAGTTGGTAATATACTATAGCTGCTGTGGACCTCGAAGACTATGATGAAGAAGTTGCCAAAGCCCTGTCCCTGTCCAATGCCCAAGCTACTTCACCGGGCGAGTCCTCCATGGTCATAGGTAATTTGAGAAAACGCCCCCGCCCAGATCCCCTTTTTGAGACTCGGCCCAGCGATCTGGTAGAAGGGCAAGAGCAGGTAGCCTGGGAGATAATTCAAAGATTGCAGAAGAAGGTCAAGGAGCTGCAAAGTCAGGTCAGACAAATACGACAAGCCACGCCTCCGAGCAACACGTTCGTTTCAATCAAACAACACAAGCGGCCTGCAGGAAAAAGCTGTTTAACGGAGGAACGCAAAGCACTGCTTCGTTGTTACGAGATTTGTAGAGGAGAGAAGGAACATGCGAAACTGGTAACAACATCGGATCCCTTATTGCGAACGACTTTTTACGTAGGATATTCCATCAATACCGTCAATAACACTGTGCTAAGAAGGGATAATAGAGACACCTGAGACAAGCCTTTCTGCAAAAAGTCAAGAGGATACTCGGTGGTTGAGGCATATATGGTGAGAGGTTCTAGTAAACGGGGTGTGGGCTGTGCTCGGAGCTGCATCGAGGCTGTACGTAACCGTTTGCAATCCCCGCTATAACCATACTTCATCGTTTGCTTCAGACCTTCGACGAATTGCTACCGATTTGAACGCCAAGAGACAAGTCGTTAACATTAGAACCCTTTTTAACCACATCAAGGGGCTATTCGCGGATCAGTCCAAGCTCCCGATCAAGGAAGCGATCCGCCTACTGATGAGGAAAATGGGCTAGATGCCGAGAACGCTTGGAGATTTGTCGAGACCGAGGATATCAAGGCCAAGGGGCGGCACTACCTTCGAGAACGGCGGTCTGACAAGTACAAAGATGCTGCGTTTGTGTATTTGGACGGATCGTACTGTGACCAGAACCATGTTAACAACAAGGTTAATTTATGTTTGTTTTTATCATATGCAAATAAACTCATTTTCAACTTTTATCTTGTCGTAAACATAGTTCTGGTTCACTCATGGAATGATGATGCATCGTACGAACAAGGGCAAGCGATACTGCGTTATCCATGCTAGTTGGAAGCACGATTGGATAGGAAACTACGGATCTGGCCAGCTAAACATTGAGGAACTAACGCCTTAATTTTCTCGACGAGCTTTGTCGTTACGCAAGGATAATCTTAGGTTTCCCAACGTTGTATCTATAATGGAATAATGGACAATGCCAAGTATCATCGCGGGGGACAGCAAGGATAAAATCAGCAGAACGATGAAGCCGAGCAAGGCGATACTGAACAAGACATCCAGTCTAAAAACACGATCCTTTCGCAGCTCAGCAAACATGAGCTGTATCAGCGTCTTCAGAGGATGAATGTTGATGTCAAATTGCTCAATGCACTCGAGAGGAAACAACTGTGTGAGATGGCTAAGAGGCAGCAATACAAGGTTCCTCTTGCCTCAGACGCCATTGCTCAGGAGTAAGAACCCATCGCAGTATCAAGATCATCGTCGCGTTATGCCTTATTCAGCTGTTAGACTAACTACAACGCTGATTTCTCCTGGATATGGCTACCATATTCCCTGGCTACCCCCTTACTATCCTGATCTCGATTCCATTGAGGAAGCCTACGGAATTGTGAAGGTTTATGTGGCCTTCCGTAACGACGGATCCAACTTCCAAAGTTGGTTTTGAAAGGCATAGAGGAAGCAGGTCCAAAATAGGTGGACCTGATGAGGTGGGTAGAGGGTAGCAAAGGGGGATACAGAGCAGCATCACATATAGATGGGCGTCGCCCTTCCCCTTTACCGATCGACCTTGGTGAAGAATCAGGCGAAGAAGAGAGAGAAGAGGAGGATAGCGTAGATTGGGAGGTTCTATTGTTTGGCTTGGAGATTTGAGATACGAATTAAGGTTGGAATTAAAGTTATGCAGCCTATACCATGCCGCAGCCCGATGTTTTTTTCTTGATAAACCATGCTAAATGGTCCCATCCGGACGACCTAGTGATATATTTTGAGCAGCTTTCTTCCATCCGCACTTGTTCTGTCAGGAATCCGACGCTTAATACTTTCCGGTGCTGTTTCGTGGTCTAATTGTTGCACTAATGACCGCGTAAAAAGTATAGCTATCGGAAGCCTTTAATGCTGGACTTGAGCGCGCTTGGACCGAATCGTTGGTTACATGGGAATGCCCTGTAATTTGGAAAGTTGTAGTTTTGGACCGCGTGAGAAACTTTGGACCTAAAAAACAGCTCTTTTCTCAACAATGCTCAACAACCCTTTTCCTCTTATCCCCATCCATATCCCTCACTACACCTCAGCACCTTCCGGAAGTCTCATCCTAGGTCTGTCCTTCTGCCTCATCTTCACTCTACCACCCGACGTCATGCCTTCCTGTGTCGCAACTCCCATCCTCCCTCTTTTTTTTTAGGGCAACAGTATGGAAATCCGAAGACAGAAAAATATAAGTGCACAAATCTCACCTCTGTCGTCTGATTCTGCACTACATTGTAACTACCGCATGTCTGGGAATAAATATGAGGCAAACGAGTTCACCCAGCCTGACTTTAGCGCCGATCAGGTTGATACGATCGAACCAGACTACGTCAAGAGCAGGAGGCAGAAAGCCAGGTCCAAGGGAAAAGGGAAGGGCAAGGCCGTCAATAAGAAGGCCAAGACCAAGTCCAAGGGCAAGAAACCCTGTAAAGAAAAATTCTGCGCAATCCCGCTTCAAGAAGGACTCGGCAGCAGGAGGACTCAGAAACAGCCAAAAAAAGGACGAAAGCGAAGCATTGGAAGCATGGTTGGAGAATGATAAACGGCAATTTCGCAACAATAACGATGAGCCTTGGAGCGATTGATCGCCGCCTTCGACGTGGATTCCTGATGAAGGACAGCACTGTTGAAGACTTCGTGGCGAGTCAGCACATCGAACCTACTATTCAGGACATCGTTAAGCTCAACGCGAATATGATCAGATGTGGGAGCCTGGCGACGTTCAGCTATATCAACACGATCATGACAGAGTATCCGCCAATAAGCCAGGCTCAGAGGATATTCTAACCCGTCGCGACAAGTTCCAGTACAATTCGCAGGAGAAGCATGGATTTTTCAAGACGCACGTGAAAGGGCTATACCACTGGGATGACGGACTCTAGGGCAGCGGCGACGGTTTTAATTCGGCTTCGGCGACACCTGAATCCTTTAAGACCCTGCCTGGGAACAAGGACGCCATGGTTCAAAAAATCAAGGGGCATCTCGACAACGCGGCCTCAACTCGATGTCTGGATCAAGTCGGCCAAACACTGGGAAACCTGATCAGATGCCATATCCGTGCTTTTGTTTCAAAGTTAAAAATATACATCATCTTTGCATAGATCGAGGCCTGGAACCCAGAGTGAGCAGCGATTCAGAAAAGAGCGGCTTTCTTAGGCACGGTCGACGACCAGAGCAAGCCCTTAGTCCATGATCCGGTGTTCTTATTCTGGGCCATCAATACCGAACTGTCATCCTCAAAACAGTTTGCGTATCTCCCAATGCCAGCCTACAAAGACAACCTCTGCCTGATCAGTGAATGGCATTTGGCGGAAGCTGTTTTGAGAACTAGAGGAGTGAATTTCAAAGTTCGGAACAAACTGACTAGGATGTTCGGAGGACCCACAAAGGCCAAATTAAAGACACAGTCTCATCTGGGAGAGCTTTTTCGAAAGCTGTTTTTCCATGGCATGGAAGCCAACCACGACCGACATGCCTGTGTCGAATTCCCTGATGACAAGTCCTTGCTGCGCTTGGTCTATCTGGATTCTTTGCTTTGCCAAAATGAGCTTGACATACCCACGACTCAGCTTGTGGACACACCAGAGCACAAAAGGGCCAAGGAGGATGTGAAGACAGCACTCAAGAAGAGTATCCTGGCCATAGACAACGCTACTCGGGCGAGAAAGTACGTGCTCGCTAGCACTTTGCAAACCGATGGGCATCGGCGCGAGATCCACTCCTACAGTCTGATTCAGCGCAAGAAGAAGGAAAAAGGAGGACGAGGACAAGGACAACAGTAAGGAGGCATCTCAGAGCGGCGCCTCCTGCTCCACAAAGCAGCCGAAGGTGAAGAAGAATGATCAGCAGGACATCACAGGCGCTAGCATGGCCTCAGCCATGCCCATGAGGTCTATGGTGAAGTACCTGACCGAAGCGATCCCGGGTCCAGAGGCACTGCAAAAGGAATTTGACAATCAGGAGAGCCATGTTGTGCTCGCCATCGACCCCAGCATAAAGAATACTGCCGCGGCTGTGATCGTGGATTCGCTTATCCCTGAAATGTCCTGGAACCTGTCGCTACCCAAAGGATGCCACACCTGGAACAGCCGACGATACACAAGGCTGTTAAGGTGCCTCAGAAACAAAAAATGAATCGAGGCTGCAGAGGAGATGGTGAGCATCAAACGACCTGGATGCAAAGACTCAGCCGGTAAAGTGTTCCGACCCTCAAGGAGTCGACTTGGCTCTGCAGTTTGAAGAACTCAAGGATCCCTGGCAACAGCATGCAGACTCAGGCTTCACGGTCGAGCAAGACTTGAGGGCCTTTTACGGATCGAAGCGTCTGAAGGTCACTCGTCATTGCAAGGAACAAGGGGGAAGTCCGAGGCAGGACGCGCAATCGGTAGGATGCTTAAAGCGGCGCACAGGAGGGCAAAGACTGATCAACGACGACCTATGGTCGTCATCGGTGATGGTGACCTCAGGGGCAAGGGCGGGGGACCGGTCAAGCCGAACAGGTTCACATCACGGCTGCAGTCTCAGGTAGGTGGAAGCTGCAGAAACGTTTTATTTGCATCGATGAAGGATGGTACGATATATGTTAGTCACTAACATTTTACTGCTACAAACACTGCTGTGCATATAGGCTACCAAGATGGGGATCTGGTGTGCTGCGTCAACGAATTCCGAACGTCGATATCTTGTTGCAGATGCCACAAGGGAGTCGAGGCTCAGGGCCGCTCGGTCGTGTGCCCTGACTCGACATGTGGAGGTTGTCGGCCATCGGAATATGACTTAACACACAAGTTGGCCTTAACACCGGGCTCCAGCGCGATCGAGACCACAACGCTGGCCAGAGCATGGCCAACGCTGCCCTTAAATAGGTTAAGGACTTTAAGTGGCTCGAGGCACTGGATTGAAAGCAATAGGCAACCATTGGAATGGCGTTTATCAATATAGCTAGTAAGTCTCATGTCTTTTTCATCTACCATGCGATTTACGTACAAAAATCATGTTTGGGTAACATTCTTAGATCTATATGCCTTCTCTATTATGTATCCATCTTCCTTATGCGCCGTATTGGTCGCGCATCATCTGACGCTGGTATGCTATCTGGTCGCGCTTCGCCTGAGCCCTGGCTTCTCTGGCTTTCGACTGCGTCTCGATCACCTGCTTCAAAAAGTCTTCTACACCAGGATCGGGTCGCATCCGCAAGATCCTCAGTACGGTCTCTGGGTTGGGAGTCATCGAGTCCGCACTCGGCCGCTTGGCGCCCACAAATCGTCGGTCATAGTCACTCTGCTGACGACCCAGTCGTCCGCGTCCTGGCACAGTCAATGCGCGGTTGTACTCTGCAACAAGATCCTCCATTGACGAGTCGTAGATCGGACGCACCGTCAGCAAATCACGGTACTTGGGAATTTCGAGGACCTTCAACGGGAATCCGTCTCCTGCATCACCGCCATTCAGGTACAGCTTGATGAACTGGGTAGAGGGGAGCAAATTATCGCGTTAAGGCTAATAACTCTTTGTGTATCGTATACTCGTATACATAGGGTCCCACAACGCAGCCCAGTAGATATCCAGGTTAAACATATACCTCAATGATCTTAAAGACAACATGCATCTCGATTTCGGTCAATGGCGTCCGATCAGAGACAATGTTCGAGAGAGGAGGCATCAGCAGCGACTCGATGGTAATCAGTATCTCTTTCCACAGCTTGGTGATCACCATGGTCATTCCTTCCGTAGTTAGATAGTCGTACAAGACTGGAAGCGATGCCTCTAGATAGTCGATCAATTGACCAAGCGCGTTATCGCAGTCCTCGTCTGAGACCTTGGTCACTTTGGCTGACGACACGGAGCTGCCAAAGAATGGGAACATGGCCTTGGACCTAAAGTTGTTGAATAAGACCTTTTCCGTCAAGCACTGCTGGACGCATGGAATCATCTATCCACAATATACAAGTACTATAATTAGTGTTTGAAGTTAATGGTCCAAAAGCGCTAGATGAGATCGAACAATGCTACTGCCTACCGCATCCACAATCATGCCGCTCATGTCTGCCTCCTTGCGCTTCAGAGATCGGAAAGTCCTGCCGAAAAAGAACTGGACGTCCTCGCGCTCTCCTTTCATCGTTATACGCAGCAAGAGACGACCGACTTGAATCAGATCCAGCCAAACGTCGTGGGGCATGTAGTCCTCATACTCTTCAGGATCGATAGTGAGATGCTGCCAACCACAGAGTCGGTCCTTGTGAACCATGTCGGCGTCGAAAATTCGAACCATATAGGTGATACTCTTGGTCAGCGTCACCTCGTACACCTCATTCCAGCGTGGATTGATATTAGCGTAGATGGTTTTGGACCTGAACACCTCTTTGTTGTCGTGCGATATGATAATGAACGGGTCGCTGGCCTCGTTTGAATCCATAGGCATCAATCTCTCTGCAGCGACAAGCACGATTTCAAACTGCTTGGGCGCATTTGGATCCGGTGTAACGTCAGGCTCGTTATCACGCATAATCTGTGCGACTTCGTCCACATCCATGTTGCGATACAACTCGTCCAACCGCTGACGGACAGCCTCGATGTTGTTCATAAGAACGCACATCTAGATGACCAAGGGGTGACCGTTAGCATGACATTCCTATACTCATAGTTCACTTACTGATTCCCAGCGCACTGATCGTCATACCTTTGGCGTAAATACAAATTGGGTGGCCTTCTTCGCTTCTGCGCTCTCCGACCGGAAAGTGAAGGATGCCAGCTGTTCTGAAAGTGTCTTGACTTCGGTTGTTCCAACGGACGATACGGAAGATGGCATACAACCATTGAACATTGTTTCCATGTACTGGGCGTACAGATCGACAGCCTTGCAGAAAACCTTGGCTAGTTTTGAGATAAAGGTCGCTCGCTGGTAGTCGTTGGGCCAATTTAGCCCTTTGACCCATGTCAAAGGCTCGTAGAAGAACGCAAACAAATCACTTGCTGACGAAGAGTGGCCAGCTCCAACACTGACTTCCTCAAACTAATTGGGCGGGAGTAGCAAATAAAAACATATCAGTGGCCTTGCCTAACTATCCATTGCTGTCAAGCAGTGATAGGCGGCACTTAGTCGATACCTGGTCTTGTTTGATGGCAGCTGTGACCCATTCTGTGATGGAAGCATCCAACGTTTCCAAGTACTTGAGAACGTAGGGTCGGAACCACGTTGAAATATTGAAATGGACACTTGAGCTATAAAGGCGAAAAAAAAAGAGTCTCAGCAATGGCAACGTAAATGATCGGAAATACAGAAAAGAGGGTGCCGGTTGCTTTACCTGGGTGCGTACAGCTCAAACAGAGTGACCAGCTCCCGACATAGCTGATACAATGGGAACACATCAGACATGGGCAATTTTCTGGCATCCATGTTCGCCATATTTTGCATCAGCGGCACAAAGTTTCTCAAGTTGTTCTCCACTACAATTGCTGCGACGTCCACCGTACTATCGCACAACGGCATAGAATGTCAGTCAGCTGAGTTTCGTGGAAAACATGCATAGAGAAGTTCAAAATGCATCCGTGCTTACCCAAATAGTGCTTTCGAGAACCGCTTCTTCATCTTTCCATGCTCAGACACAATGTAGAGTGCCATCTTTGTGAGTGGTACGGTCTCATTCTCGTATCGTTCCTTTTGAACCTCCTCGTCCTTAGCGTTGTAACTTCGAATGGACTCCAAAAGTACTGTCTCCTTGATGTCCTCAAAGAACGGCGTCAGATTGATATTCAGTCGTTGATACACCTCCTGCTGATGCACTCTGTCGAGGATATCCAACATTGGCTGGAAGTAGCCCGCACTGACATTTTCCAAATCCTTGATATCATGGTTTATGTTGTCGAAAATCATATGGTTCAAGCCGCCATAAACGTCGCCTAACATGTTGACCTATTCATTCAATCGTCCGCCCCAGGCGATATTGAGTGAGCGTGAGAAGACATCATACTGTAATGAAACGAAAACACCAGGTCCCTTATCCAGTAGATGTATGCATACCTCAGAAATATGCCATTGATGGATCTCAGTGTCCTTGTAGAACCTGTTTTGAAGGAAGTCCAGCAAAAAGTTGACGGAAACCTTTCCTTCTCTGTATCGCTCCTTGATAACCTCCATCAAAATAATTTCTCGCCAGCTTGAGGTCAGCCTCCACCGAACGCCACAGTCAATAAGCAGAGCCCTTGTAGGGATGGACAGGAGACTGACTGCAGGGTCGTTCTCTCCACGAGTGGCCAAGGCATAATCTACACACATCTCCAAAAGAAGGTGGTAATAGGCCTTGGGGTTCTGAGGAATGAACGTGAACTCGCTCTATTCAACGCGCACATAGGAAGGGACTGTTATTCCCGTCTGTTCGTCATGTCGGATCAATCAAAAGCGGCATCCAGAGAGCTGTAAACATACCGGATGGAACTGCCTAGTGGGCATGTCTATTGATGCTAGATTGGGATGCCCGGCAGAGAGACCGCGGATAAAACCGTTCAGGGCAGCTCTTTCACGGTTCTTGAACTCTTCGTGGTGTTCCTTGTGATGATAATCTGCAGTGCCTGGATACGGGAAAGAATCCAGATCAAGGTTCGATGCGCACTTCTTCAGGTCCTCAATTGCGACCTATATTTGATTGATGATGTGTCAATGCTACCGAAAGCAAGCAGAAAAACGCTCTTGTCATTATACAATAGGATCTGGCATTCTTACCTGTCTTGTGGAGTTCCGACGAAGATCATTCATGCGCTGATGTCTCACGCTCTCCGGGTATCTGAACAGCTCCTTGATGACTTTGGTGAGTTCATCAGCCTGCGCAGTTGAGTTATTGGGCTTCACGGCTGTTGTCTTCACTTGCTTATCTAAACGCTGCAGGATCGCCTCATGTCCATCGAATGGGGTTTGTTGAATGGCTTCACGCAGCAGATTCACCATAATCGCAATTTGGGCGTCTCGGTTGTTGGTCGGTATATTCATCGACTGTTGGATCCTGGACATCTCGATTGAAAATCCAACGATCAGCTCCTCAGCATTCGTTGAGGCCTTGAACTGCTTCGGTTCCATGTTACCAAGAGCCTTCTTCACAACAGGATCCTGATAGGTTGGGTTATGATCCTTTCCAGACAGGATATCCTTCACTCTTCCCCTCAATGCCTTTACAAGGTCTTTATGGGTGTCCTTGTTTGTAATTGGCAAGGCTAGCGCTGGTGGCGGCGCCTCGTCGGCTTGGGCGAGCAGGATAAGTCTGAGCAAGTACGGATAAAGATCGTCGGGTGTCACCTTGGCAAGTGGAAGAGGAGCAGCAACAGTTGACTCCGGCTGGTGGGCCGCTCCTGTCATTCCCGCTGCTCTTCTGAGGGTTTTTGCACGTCTTACCATTGATGGCGCCTTCTGAACAGGCTTATCAGCAAGCGCTGCCATAGAGGTGATTGGGTTGTGGGCGAATTCTGGTTGATTGAAGAGCAGCATCGCATCGCCACCAATGTGACTATGGTTGTGATTATGAGGAGGATGTGCCTGCGCCATAGGTTGATGGAAAGATATTTGCTGCGACTCTTCCTGTCTCTGAAATTGTGGTGGAGGGAAGAAAGGATGGCTATCGGCGCGAGGCTGGGGGCTTACCAGGGACTGACTGGATTTGGGACTAATAGAAAGCTGAGCGGGGCTGGGAGCTGTGTCATTCTGTAGTTGAGTCCCATGAGTACCGATGAGCGGTGGCGGCGGCATATATGAGCTATTGGGTCGTTTTGGGACCAGGCGCAGGACTGCTGGGGACTGTGATGAACTGGAGGTATCTGCAGGTCCATCGGACAACGAGTATCGCTTCTGCTCCATATCGTCCTCGCCAATAGCAGGTAAGGGCTTAAAGACGTCTACTGAACTACTTGGTTGCGCGACGCTAGGGTTCTGGTGGACACTAGAAAGCGACGAGGTGGAGCTGGGTTTCGCCATTGCTTCAATACTCTCCATTAATCCATCCAGAGAGATCGGGCTGTCTATAAATGGATCGTTTTGCTGCCGATGGATTGCGGGCTTCGTCATATCGCCTACAGCAACTTTGATGTTGTCACTGTTGTTGAAGCTGCTGGCATACGTATTGGAGGGTCTGAGATCCGATACCTCGACCTTGACTGTCGGATCATAACTGCTATTGCTGGCGGGCTGAAGTGATGGCAGCGGCTGAGGCGTCGACAGGGGGTTTGTCGTGTCTTTCTTTGTGGGTATATAAGTAGTTGAAGGCACAAATGAAGTGACAGCCGGGAACTTTACTCCAGGGGTCGGCAGAGGCGTTAACGGTGTCTTGGACATGGGCTGCACAGCTGGTGGCGGCTCAGCCTTTCTCGGCGGCTCAGCCTTTCTCGGCAGCTCAGCCTTTCTCAGCGGCTCAGTCTTTCTCAGCAGCTCGGGCGATTTGATAGCGTCGTGTGTTGTCATTTCTGTGGGACGGCTATCGGAATCAGATGCGCTGGGTGATGCTGGAAGATAAGAAATCGTGGCAAAAGACGGCGAAGGTGACACAGCTGTTGAGGTTGGAACTGAGGAGCCACCGGTAGGAGATTGTATGGTAGCTAGAGGAGCGATTTTGGACGAAGAGAACGATGTTGGTGGCTGATGAGTCTGCTCGTCATCAATAGGAATTAACTCCGTGGGCCTGTCATCCGCGTCAAAAGACTCTGCGGTGTGCATTGGCGGTCGACGTTGGCTGTGGGAAGCCTGATATCCGTTCTGGCTCATAGCAGGCGCACCCAACGGCGCCGATTGCCATGAAGAGCTTGGTGATGGCGCCCCAGGCGGTTTCTTTGTGTCCTTCTTCGGCGAACCAGCCGCTGTAGACTGGTAGCTGGTCTTCGGCTTGTATGACGTGACATTGGAAGGCGGCCTGAGGCCTGGGAATGTTGTCGATGGTGTAGCTGCTGGTGGAGCATTCGTCATACTCGTTGGAGGGGCAGTGTGAGCCATGTTTGGACTGTGCGAAGGGTGGGCTGTGGTATGTCCACTGTATGGGGGCATTGCTGGCTGAGGTATCGGGGATGGAATGTAGGGCCTAGGCGGATAGGTCGAGGATGGGCCATGCCCAGGTCCGGCTCCAGGTCCCGATGGCATTGATGTGGGAGGATAGCCTGGGCCGGCACTGGCAGGCGGATAGCCACCCCCTGTTGACGGCGGTCTGCCAGCGATGGGCCATTCCTGATGTCGAGGAGCCTGTGGCACCACTACAGGCGAGGCTATAGCGTGCTGAGGTGGTGGGGTGCCTGGACCATAGTTTTGTGCAGGCGGATATGGTGGTCTCGGTCCTCCTGATCCTGGGCCATACATTGATCCTGGTCCGTGTCCTGGTCCATGTCCTGGTCCATGTCCTGTTCCATGTCCCGGTCCGTGCCCTGGTCCATGTCCTGGTCCAAAGTGTGGTGAGTTGAATCCCATATTGTTGTTGCCATTGATACTGCCGTGGCTGTTATTGAAGGCAGGTGGATATAGCGGTCGAGGAGGCGCGTTGTTGAAGTGAGGCTGTGGTGGCATGGGCATGCCTCCCTGGAAACCCGAATGCGGTTGCTGAGGATAGTATCCTGGTCCATAGCCCTGTTGCTGCTGCTGCGGCGGCGGCGGTCCTCCAGGTCTGCCGAGCATAGGTGAACCCATGTTCTGCTGAGGCGGGTATCCTGGGTTATAAGGACCTGGCCGATAGCTGCGTGGGTCCGCCATCTATTATCGTGATCGGTTCTTTTACTTTTTCCGCGGAGAAAAGAAAGTGGGGTTAGCATTTGGTCTTGCTCATAATGGTCTATTAAGGTCGAGTCGAGTCGGGTCGAGGCATAGCCACGCGGTGGACAGGACATGGTGATATCGGTCTTTGAGTCTCTGGCGTGTTGGCAGCACCTGCGACGGACAGGCATTGTACCTCGTACTTACCACTTATGACTGAGACAAAATTGGATGCCAATTGGATATGGAGGAAGACGGTCGAATGAAAGGGATGAGTGGAGAAAGTCAAGGATGGTGATGTCGAAGATGCGAGGACAGCGGCAGGGTAGATGGCAAAGGGGGTGTCCTTTGCCAAAAAGTTATATTTGGACCACATGGGGTGTAATGATGCTCACACTCTTTAAAGTAAATAACTTAAAAGAAATGAAGTGCACTCCGCTGTTCAATTTATACAGTGCCTTAAAACGTCTTTTCAGGGGAAAGTGTGCACCGCAATCTCGCTGATCTCTTCTCATTCAACACCATCTGCAAGGGACAACCTCGCTTTTCCCTCCTGCTTCCTTCTTCACTCTCTCCCTTCTCAACGCTACTCTGTTTTGTACCAGCGCACAAAGACTCTCCTTCCTCCCTTCCCTCCTTCTCTACTATTCGTTTATACCCACTCACCTTCACCCCCTCTCTATCATATACTTTCGTTATCCTTCCTGTCACTTCTAATTCTCATATCAGTCATGGCAACATTGGCCAGAATTATGCGAGGCATTGCCATTAAGGCGCTGCAATGTGGCTCCATACCTCAGCATGTTGGCTTTATTATGGATGGCAACCGCAGGTATGGTCGCAAGGTGCAAGTTGGAAACGGCAAAGGCTATTATCTAGGATACGAGACGCTAGAAGAGGTACGAGTATCATCTCCCCCAAAATATCCTATTTACAAATCAGCAAGGAAATCATATCAGCTAAACTTAGCGACAATTTGATGGTAACTCCCTTTAGATTTTGGCAGTGTCAATGGAACTAGGCGTCAAGGTCGTCACTGTGTACGCCTTCAGCATTGAAAACTTCAAGCGCCCGCCAGATCAAGTCGAGACGTTGATGGAGCTGGCCAAGGCCAAGCTGGCAGAGCTATGTGAGCACAGGTAATTACTGGATTTTGATGGCTGTCTGCAATGGCATTTTGGGAATCCCTGCAAGGACACACACAGGCACCTATGTGTATTATCCGAATTAGCATATGAAAACAAAGGTGAAACTCAATTATTACAGCGATAATTCAGTGCAGGCTCTGAAAAACAGCAAACATACATGGGTGGGAACCGATGTGCAGAAAGATTTAAAGAGCAGAGTGCCGTTTTCGATTACGATATTACACTTACCACAACAAATCTGCAACGTGGCATCACACGCATTCCATTCCCGCCCCCTGCTCGTGTCATTGACATTCTATTTTTTTTTATCATCATAGTGAACTGGTCAATCGCTACGGCATCGGTATTCGAGTACTGGGAGACGATACTCTGCTCCCTGAGGATGTCCGTAAAGTCGTGCGTCGTGCGGTGGAACTCACTAAGAAGAATAACAGGGCCATCCTCAACATGTGCTTTCCATATACCTCACGCGAAGAGCTCACCATGGCAACACGTTCCCTCGTCAGCGGCATTGAAGCATATGAGCTGGATCCAAGGTATGGTTCTATTTATTGGGAGGGAAGGATTTCGAGCTTCGCACGATTAACACTTAACTGAATCATACGCTATGATTTCGACTATGATAGCGATATCACAACAAGTGCTTTGGAGAACAGCCTTTACACGCGCTCTTGTCCTCCCATGGATATTTTGATCCGCACCTCAGGTGAAATTCGACTCAGCGATTTTATGCTTTGGCAGTCTTCCCGGGCATGTCATGTTGAGTTTATTGACTGCTATTGGCCCGAGTTCACGTTCTGGAAACTTGTCCCGATTCTTCTGAGATATCAACTTCGTGCCGGATCTATAGCACAGTCCAGGCGGGAGTACGAGAGAAGAGATGGAACCGATGCAACTATATTCGCATCATCGAGCTGTGGTAGCGCCGCATGCGAGCAGGATGCAGTAGAGGATGCGTTAGATAGCCGATGTATCAGTGAACCGATAACCCTTCACCGCAATTCTTCAGAGTCAACCTTAATTACCGAGGAGCTCGATGACGACCGAGACTTGGACATGTATGACTGCCAGGCAAAGGAGAAGAGACGGCGTGTAAAAGAGTTCTTAGCCCATCGGGGACATTTACCGAACTGTCCACTGGTCCAGCTACAATAAAGTGCTTTTTGTGTTCAGCTTATTTTCTTGGTGCCTGAAAAGATTGAAAAAATATATGCAGTCCCAGAGTGAATCGATAGCACTGAACGCGATGTGTGTTGTGCCTCTCAAGTTGATTGCAGCACTTCGCCATCATCTCGCGCAAGATCCACCGTTGCACTCTTCCGCATACAAACAGGGTACAGGATACAACAGGAGCTATAGGACAGCTAAGACGGACCAAGCGATTCAGGGATGCGTATCGAGGAACTCATTATCGACGGCTTCAAGAGTTATGCCACCCGTACATCCATCACTGGCTGGGACCCTGAATTCAACGCCATCACTGGTCTCAATGGTTCTGGCAAGTCCAATATTCTCGATGCGATCTGCTTCGTCCTCGGCATTACCAACTGGGCACAGGTACCTCAACTATTTGCAATCGTGGACAGTGTGGAACTTAGATACACCATGACGCCGCAGTGGTTGAAGCAAGTCGCTCAAAGCATTTTTTTTTTTTTTTTTTTTTTTTTTTTGCCCCTCATATTGGGTCACTGATTCTAGGTGCGAGCAAGCAGTATCCAGGACCTGATTTACAAACGTGGCCAGGCTGGCGTAACCAAGGCTTCAGTCACTGTCGTTTTCAATAATCAGGATCGTGAGCAAAGTCCTGTCGGTTTTGAGAGCAGCAAGCAAATCACCATCACTCGACAGGTACGCTCAGGAACCAACGATTACATCATGGGCCCTGTGGAGACTCCTTTGCTGACATGACTTGGCTTCTATAGATCTTGATTGGCGGACGCAGCAAGTTCTTGGTCAATGGACACACAGCTCAACAACAGGTCGTCCAGACCTTATTCCAGTCGGTACAGCTCAACATCAACAACCCACATTTCCTAATTATGCAAGGAAAGATCACAAAGGTTCTCAACATGAAGCCACCAGAGATTTTGTCCATGATTGAAGAAGCTGCTGGAACCCGCATGTTCGAGGAGAGAAAAGAAAAGGCGCTCAAGACGATCGCGAAGAAGGAAAAGAAGGTTGCAGAAATCACTCAGTTGCTGGCGGAGGAAATTGTGCCCAAGTTGGACAAGCTACGAGGAGAGAAGCGAGCATATCTGGAGTTTCAGAAGACCCAAACAGAAATCGAGCGACTGTCAAGGATCGTCGTCTCGTACGACTACTCCCGCTATGAGGTACTTATTGCCTACGCCTCCGATTCAGCAAGGATATGAAAGACAACATAGCGGCCTAATTTCCATTGTTCTTTATGTTGTCTACGCACTACTTTAGCAACGATACTCCAAGACAAAAAAGGATCTTGCGGATAAAATTACATTGACGGAGCACAAAACAACAGAGATCCAACAACTGCAGTCGGCTATCTCCAACATCACTCAGGACATCGAAAAAATCACGGCAAATCGGCTCAAGGAGATGACACAGGGCGGCAAATTTCAGACATTGGATATGACGGTAAAGGAACTTTCCAAGGAAATGGTCAAAGTGAGAACGCAGCGTGATCTGAAAGGCAAGGAAGCTGAGGAGGAGGATCAAAACCGAATAGGTCTTCAGGCTACGCAAAAGGAGGTATGGCTAGGTGCATTATTTTGTTTCGAAGAGACGACCTAGATGACTGAACATTGCAGATGAGTCCATAAGGGTTTGGTTACTCATATCATTATTATCTTGTATTTTATAGACTGACAAAATTCTTCGCGAGAAGCGGGCGGAGTTCCAGAAACTCCAAGTCACCTACAACGACCTCAAGAGAAAGCATGATGAGCAGCAGGAGCAGGTGCGCATGAACGAGGAATTAATCCAGACACTTTCCACGGGGTTGGCCGCAGAGGAAGGCCATGAGAACGGTTACATGGAACAGTTACAAAGGATCAAGGCATCGGCGGCGCAAGCGACGACGATCGTGGAGCAATCGAAACTGAAGATGAAGCATCTACAGACTGAGCTGGTAGAGAAGCGCAAGCAGGTGACAGTGGCACAGAAAAACAACAAGGATCTGAGTGCTGGGCTTTTGGCGACTAAGCAGCAGGCGAAGCAGTTGGAAGGCGCTCTGAGCAGACAGTCGTTTGACCCTGAAAAGGAGCGAGCGTTGTTGATGGAGAAGGCAGCTCATTCAGAGGGGATCCAAAAACTTACGGAGCAAATCGAATATACTTCACGGAAGGTCTCTGGTCTCGACTTTCAGTACTCAAACCCCACACCAAATTTCGACCGATCGACCGTCAAGGGCCTTGTTGCAGAGCTGTTCACAGTGCATCCAGAGAACATGAATGCGGTGACAGCACTGGAGATTTGCGCCGGGGGTCGTTTGTACAATGTAAGTCAGCACGAGGTCGCTATGGGTTTCTTTACCACGCTTTACTTCAAACAGGTCATAACCCCAATATGTTCTCTAGATCGTTGTTGACAATGAAGTGGTCGGATCTCAGCTGCTTCAGAATGGCAGGCTCCGCAAGCGTGTTACAATCATTCCTCTTAACAAAATTTCTGCGTTCAGGGCGCACGCCCAGGTACTACTCTCGATCTTGGATTATCTCCATTTACTAAAACAGCATCGATTTTTAATTTTGAACGCGCTAACGGATAGTTTTTGAATTATGAAATAGAAAATCGCCACTGCACAAAAACTAGCCCCAGGCAAGGTAAACCTGGCCCTGACATTGATCGGGTTCGAGGAGCACCTGGAAACGGCCATGGCGTACATTTTCGGCAATACCCTAATTTGCGCTGATGCAGAGTCCGCTAAGAAGGTCACATTCCATCAAGAGGTCCGAATGAAGTCTGTCACGCTCGACGGCGATGTTTACGACCCAAGTGGAACCTTGCAGGGCGGATCTAGACCTTCCGGTGGCGGCATTCTTACTAGTCTTCAAGAAATTCACGAGCTGAAGGGTCGACTGGCTGAGCGCCGACAGCAGCTTCAGCAAGTGGAACATCAACTCGCTGGCTTGTCTCAGGAAGGAAGGGCGTATGCTGAACTGAAGCAAAAGTTGGAGCTGAAAACCCACGAACTCCGCTTGTCTGAACAGCGGATTTCTGCCAGCGAGCACGTTCAACTGACGGAACAAGTTGAGAAACTGGAAAAGGAAATTGAGGCATTGGAGCAAGGAATCCAAGAAGGAAACGTTAAGAGGGCCGATGCTGTCAAGCGTTGTCAAGAGATTGAGAAGGAGATGAACGACTTCAAGAAGAACAAGGACGGCAAGCTGCAGGAACTTATGGTAACAACCTGGCACTATCTTATGCACTACCTGGCCGTGCTTGTTTGTCAATAGGTAGAGCTAATGCGGCTATTTTTTATGCCCCTTTCTTCTTTTTAGCAAAAACTTGCAAAATCCAAAGCAGAGTTGGTCAAGAATGCACCTCGGGTAAAGGTCATGCACCGTGAATATCAGACCTTGGAGCTCGAGTTGGGTAAGTATAGTGTACTCCAAAGCGCCGCCACTATACAGCATATCCTGCAAGCGCGCGTAGCCGCTGACACCCATCTCAACTCTACAATAGAACAACTCGAAAAGGACATTAAGACTGCCAATCAGGAGTTGGCGGACAGCGAGGCCCTGATTTCCAGCTTCAAACAAGAACGCGATCGGCTTCAGGAACATTCGAGGAACCTGGAGGAGTCCTATGAGAAGGCACAGGCAGAGTTTGAGCGGGAGAAGGCACAGCTCACGGCATATGATGAAGAGTTGAAGGAGCTAGAGGCTCTTTCGAAACAAAAATCCGAGGTTGTGGCTGAAATTCAGCTGGAGATTCAGAACTTGGCGCACGAGACGGACCGGCTCTCGAAGGAAAACCAGTCGTTACTGAAGGCCACCGAGGAGCTCGAGGCTGCTAATGATTGGATCCAGGACCAGAAACAGTATGTGAACTAATGCTCAGGCTACGATGTTGCTGCGGTGATGCACTTTTGAAGGAATGTTCACGCTAATATCCTATGAGTTTTTTTTTTTTTTAGTCTGTTCGGACAGCTCAATGGCCCGTACGATTTCACGTCTCAAAATCCGTCGGAGAGTCGCAAGAAGCTGAAGCAGCTCGACGAGAAGCACTCTGCCATGAAGAACAAGGTCAATCCTAAGGTTATGACTATGCTTGAGAACCAAGAGAAGCGTGAGGCATCTCTGAAGCAGATGTTAGCTACTGTGCAACGTGACAAAACCAAGATTGAGGATACGATCGCTTCTTTGGATGACTACAAGATCGAGGCACTCGAAAAGACCTATTCAAAAGTCAATGGGGATTTTGGAGCCATCTTTGGCGATCTGTTACCCGGAAACAACGCCAAACTGCAGCCTTTGGAGGGCAAGGACGTCACTGGCGGACTGGAGGTCAAGGTCTGTCTAGGGGGTGTGTGGAAGGCCAGCTTGACAGAGCTGAGTGGTGGACAGCGATCGTTGATTGCCCTGTCCTTAATCTTATCCCTGCTCCAGTTCAAGCCTGCACCAATGTATATTCTGGACGAGGTCGATGCAGCTCTGGATTTATCGCATACGCAGAACATTGGTCAACTGCTTCGCACGCGGTTCAAGGGATCACAGTTTATCGTTGTGTCTCTGAAGGAAGGAATGTTTAATAATGCCAATGTGCTCTTCAGGGCGCGCTTCAGGGATGGTATTTCTATTGTCGATGTAAGTATCGCTTCCAAGCCCCATGCATACATGCTTTGGATATTAAGGAAGCTACTGACGAGCCACAACATTTTTTATCAACCTCTAGCGCAACGCACAAAATCAGAGAAGCAATGCCAAAGCAGTTGCTGGTTCTTCGTCAACCACAGGAGGACGTCGGGGAGAGAACGAGAAGGAGAACGATGTGTCAGCGGCCAACGTTGCGACATCCGAAGGATCTGGGTCGCTCTTAGACAAGAAGCAGGCCAAGAGGATCAAAGTCTAGAGCCGTGGCCTATCTGCCTCTCAGCTTCACTATGTCCATTATAGTAAATCCGCGTATTCATTGTACATACACTTGTATTGCGACGGAGACGTGTTTTCAAGTACACCATCTCTTTATTATTGGACACCCATGACAAGCGAATGTTTTCCATCATGGAAGACCTGCTTGCGTGTGCCGTGCGCGGCTAGGATCTGATCCTTGACTAGGCATCCTCCTTTGTGTGTGGACCAGCTCTTGTAGGAAGCTATGGCAGAGATGAGCAGAGAATGGTCGACGACGGTTTAGTCGCTTGCCTAAAGCGTAAATTACTCTCATTTTTGGAGTACACACCGAACGACAAGAACCACGGTTTACCTCTGACTGTTATGAATGCTCGTGCCTCCAAAGATAATACGTGCCCCGGGAGTAGCGGCATTCAGCATGGAAATATATCTCGCCTCTTCATATGTTGCTCCGCCCACCATAAAGACAATGATATCCTGAGGCCGATCCCGACTAGCTGAGCCCTCGACAAAGGGGTAACTCGCCTCCTTGAGTCGCATCTTTAGCAGCTGTTCCAGAATTTGGGCCAGCTGAGGTTGATGCTGCGTGTACACGTTTTCAACTCCCTGTGTTGCAAAAGAAAAACGATAGCTACGTTAGGCATGCGTCCTGAAAAGGCATAAGCCCAGGAATCCTGTACCTATGTATCCCTGTACCTTAAGCCCTTTGAGCGCACTCCTTCCACGCGAGAGAATACTTTCGTTCGAAAATAAATCGTCCTGTCTTTGAGATGCACCGCCATATTGCATCAGGGTATCTAGTGACTACATCAATCGCAAACAAAAGGACATTGCGTTAAAATATCGAAAACTACCTTGGATGTACAATTCCGTCCCCAATATCATAATGGACCCAGGCTCTTGGAGACTTACAGCGATTTCGCGTTCACTCAATCCACTCTTGTAAAGCAGATCGATTAAAGAGGCAACGGCGTTACCCTGGAACTTTTCGTAGCGTAGCGCGTACAACTGGACCAAACGGATCTTACTGCCATCGCTGACCTTTGGGCTGCTGATCAGGCGTTGCAAGTTCTAAGCATTATCACGAAGATACGGTAGTGGATTATTTGTAAGCGTAGCGTATCAAATACATGCGGAAAAAAGAAAAAGAAAAAAAAGCCGCACTTCGCGTCTTGCAGTTTCGTACGAACCTTGAGATCGTTGTTGTGAGAATCCGAGCATGCCAAACTCTGCTCCAATTCCGAGACCTCCAACACATTTCCTTGATCGACTAGTCGACTCAGTTCGCCCACGAGCGTCACATGCTTCGAGACATTCCCGGACAACTTTCTGAACTCGGGATAGTCCTCCACAAAGCGCTTCATGTCTGCAATCGACTCGATGTTCATGTTGGACTTGGTCTTTGTCTGATATTCATCCACGTAACTCTTGATATTGGCGCCCAAATCTCCCAGATTCAGAAACATGTTCTTTTGAAAAAAGGCGTCCTGGTCGCATGACAGCACAACTTCCTAGAGAACGATAAGAGATGCAATATTAAATTTAATCTGCCTTCTGTTTTGGATTGTCCTGTACTCTGAGAAAAGACGGCGGTACAAAATAACGAAAGGCCAGTCGCGGGTGCCTACCTTCAGTTCTGGTTTGATCCCTGGCACTCCTGATAGGTCTACTCTTCCATTACGAATTCCGATCAACTCATGGACCATGGCCTGGTATGTCCATTGAGAAAGCAGTGGTGTCACAGGATCGTTGCGACGATCAAGAATCAGCAGGATGGGCGGTGTGTCCGACTTTCGGAAATCAAATAGTTGTCCTTCCTGCTGGATTTGGAACTAGTTGTAGAATGACGAACATTTAGCCACGTTGCAGTGTCCAGATCTCTCTCTCTCTCTGATTTTTTCTCAGTTCCTCGCGCGTGTATAAGAATGTACCTGCACTTCTGTGGCGAGTCGCTTGGCCATTGCGCTTCTCTGCTGATACCGGATCAATGGTTTCTTTTTCAAAGAGAGAAGCACGCTCAGCAGCCCGTCTACAGTCCTGGTGAAGCTAGTGTTGTCCCATGCCGTGAAAGAGTCCCCATACAACGGTATCGTCGCTGAATCGAGATTGATCGAGAAACAATCTGGATTGATGGCGTAGTAATCAGCATAGTATTCCTAGAATGAGAATGTATCCGAGTACAGTTATTGAGTAGGACATGCCCTGGTATCACATCTAGTTCCCTGCTTTCTCAATGGTTTAAATGAGTCCGTACTTGAACTTCCCGTACGACTTCGTGCTCATCCATCTCTGCAAGGCGCTCAATTACAGTCTTCTTAATGCGGTTGCTGAAATCTAACCAAGGTACGAGCATGCCAAGCGGCGATGGCAGTGAGTTGACCATGAGACGTGTTCTTCGTTAGAGACATTCCGTGAGAGTTCGTATGTCTTAATCGTGCCGGGAAGATGTTCGACTACTTACAGAGATAGTAGTCGCCATAACACGGGTCCCGAAGTTCCTGGATCAGCTTCTCTATCGAGTCAGGAGTCGGCCTCAGGAAACAGACACACTTCAAGTGCCGCATCTTATCCCTGGTACTGTTTTCGATGCGGTCCACGAGGTAGGTCTCCTTTTGGAGGAGATGAGATTGGGTCGCCACCATCGAGATGATGGGTGTCTAGATTGCGGTTGTGACAACGGCATGGAGTTGTTAGCGCCCCAGTTGTCTCGTTTCTGCTTTACACGACCAAAAGAAAGCTGTGGAGTGGTAACGCCTAGGGCGGGATGCGAGCGCAGTCGGCTGCTGTGGTTTACCGTTTCCTGGTCTAGGAGAAGGACCTTCATGCCTGGCGTGTCGCTAAGCATCTTGTCGATGTAGTACTGCAGTGCTGTTATGGTGTTCATGGCGCGAAGGAGTGATGAATGTGTAATGAGCGGAGGCGCGAAGAGCTGCTTGTACCGCAGGGACTAAAGACACGCCACGATTTTATGCAGCTGCCTGGAATAAAATCTTGGGTAAATTCGACTTAAATAGTGGAAAATAGTGGACATGGCTCATCCTGTACATGTACGCTGTCGCGCCCCCTTCATTCAAGGAAACGCTTCGTTGCTATCCTTCAGACCCCATGCGCACCTGGCTCCCGAATCTAGGCCGTTGCAGATTATAGCAGATCAAAGACGCCAATACGCTCAGGTAGAAGCAGATTAAATCCACAATATCTTTCTTTGCCAAGACACGTAAATGTACAAGATGGATGTTGGCACTGACTATGTGTTTCTTGTCCAATAAGTGAAAAGGACATGGTCGATATCACTAGAAGTCCGTGATGCGCCCTGTATTTCCTGTAACATGAAACCGCCTCTGTGAAAGCGATGTAGTGCATAACATCCACTTTTTTGCTGGCCTCCCTCCTCTGCGAACTATCCAAAGAAAGCAACGTCAAACGGACCTATTAGATTGTCTTACAGCAGCAGCAGTAGCTTTTTGTCGCACTAGTCTAGTTGGTGTGTGTGTATTTAGAACCCGAGGAATTTGTGTTGAACACAGCGAGCCTCATAGCAAAGGGGTTGCGCGAAGTGCATGTAGCGCAAACATTTCCCTGGGTTTATGCGGCGGCCTCGTTGGTTGCTCGCTCCATCTTGCTAGACTCTAGTCCCGTCTCGCCGTTGTGTGGATAGGATTCATTGAACAAACTCTGTCAAGACGGTATGATGGGAAGTACGGTACTCATGTCATGCAAATACCTGTCTCTTGTTATACTTACATTCCCACCCCAGGATTCTCTGCAACTTTTACTCGGCATTCTCGGGGCGTAGAATCGGATCTTTGCGACGTAGTGATGCCCTGTAATCTGTAGCAAATTTCGTCGCGGTGCTTGGATCGCCTTTCAGTGGCGCTCCGGCAGGTTCCATCCCAAAACCCCATACTCCTTCCACCATATGGATGTGTGCGATGGAGGAGGCAACAGTGCTTAGGAGAGTTGAAGGGAAATAGAGATGAGAACAGGAGAACACATTTATTAGACGTCTTTCTGCTTGATTGCCCAGCTTTTCTAAGCTTGTTAAGGACTCAGGCGGGGTCACGGTCGAGTTCGCGCTTTCTACCAAGCAATGCCCCGATATGTCGCTTTGTATGTAAGGCAAGTACTACTCTTCCACGTTCTGTTCAAATCCTGGCCCTTTCCGCTTCAATCCTGCATATGAACAACTAATCAAAAGGCGATCAGGTTCGACCAGTTTTATCGAGCTACATATCTGTTTTATACGGCCATCAGCGCCCGTTGTTGACTGGAGGTAGTTAGTCCTGACAATTGAATTTCAAAGATTCAATTACAGTTCACCAAGTATGGTCCAACCTCCAAAATACTCACCAAACGTCTTCATTCCACTGTAGCAGTTTTGCTACCCAAACTCATGATTCAGTTCTCGAGAGAGGAAAAGTTCTCGGCAGAGGAAAGAACAGTGGATCCTCGCCATGCACGACTGTCGTATTGAACTGATGAGTTCCAGGCGAGGACTCGGTAGCGATAATGAGCGTTACTTAGTCCTTATAACATGCACGCCCATCCTGCCCCTTCCCTCTCCTCTTCTCTCGTCACAGTACATGGGGCTGACGACCTTTCCTGCCATCTCTGTCCTTTTTCCATTGGGTGGCTGTGCCTTCCTCCCCAGGCGCGCTGAGTTGAATATAGGAATTCCTAGAAACTTTACTAGTACTCGTTCAAGGGCCTATGCGAGCTAGGCGTACTTGACTATTCACATTTCTTTGTATCTTTTTCGCTATCCCCTCTATAACTTCTTTACCACCAGAAAAAAAAAAAAAAAAAAAAAAAAAAAAAAAAGCTGGCTGACTTATGCGAATGTCTACCGCCTCACTTTCTCTCAACTCTTCTGAGACATCCTTGCGAACAGAAAGGACGGAAGGCAGGACGAGGCAAGATCAGGGTGCGTTCACATTTTTTTCCGAGTGAAAAAGCGAGGACCAAGTAGGAGGTGGCGCATGCAGCCATTGGCCATTGGCACAGATCAATCGCGCGTGGCAGATGCGGGCTTTGACATGCTCCTTCAACTGCGCAGGATAGATAAAACGATACAGATCCGCTTCAACACAAATCCAGCAGCCGATTTCCTTTTGACCGTGCCCCATATTGTTTATTGATGATTGTATTTACAAGAAAACACTCCTGTCGATGTTAATGTCTATCGCGCAACCTCGCGTTTAAAGAAATGAGAGAAAGAAAAGAAAAGAAAAAAAAGAAAAAAAAAAAAGATGTCGTCGAGCTAAATAAATGGATCTGCAACGCGAAAAACTGTCCTGACCGAGCGTATCCTTTATAGCGTACGGTTCTTCAACAGTGCCATCTCCACTGCGCCAGAGCCCCAGTCCAATCCATGATTGTGTCCCTTGCCCTCCTTGTCCATGCCGGCACGGCTCAATGCCTGATCCTCGTTCAAGCAGGTCAAGACTCCAAAGATCACTGGCAGACCCGAGTCCAGGCCAACGCGCATGATTCCCTGCGTGACAGCCTCGCAGATGTACTCGAAATGCATGGTCGAGCCCTTGATCAACACTCCGATACAGATCACGGCATCGAATGCCTGCTTGCTTCCTGTAGCAGTAGCACTAGTGGTACTGGCACCGATGGAGGCGGGTCTGGCTGAGGTCGTGGGTGAGGAGAGGTTGAGGCCGTCCAGGAGGTTGACATTGCCCATCAGGTCATTGGCTCCTTCGGCGGCACGGATCTGTGAGACCTCGATGAGCTTCTTGGCCGCAAAGGGCAGCTCGTAGGCGCCGGGTACGGACTCGATAACGATGTTCTCGGGCTTGACTTTGTGCTGCTCAACCATCGCCTTCTTTGCACCCTCGACCAGTCCCTGGACGATGGCCGAGTTCCAGCGAGTGTGGACGATGAGGATGCGGAGGCTTGAGCCGTCCTGGGCAACAGCTGCGGGTTCGAGGCCCTTGTGGAAGTCGTCGAGCATGATGAATGAAGAAGAAGGAGAATGAGTGTGTATGTGTATGTGTGTGTGTGAGAGTGAGGATCGAGTGGAGTTCGTTCAGAAGGACAGGGGCCAGGGGTGGCTGACGCAAAATGACCTCACGCGCATGAAAAGCGCAGCGCGTTTTCGAGTCGGAGACAACCACCGCCACTGACCACAGCAAGTTACACTGATGGACTAAACAAAAAATATCTACAGGGTTTATTAACTGGTCTTTCGAATCTATCGCCGACTGTGGTTGCGGCTGCTCCGTCGAAGGTTATCGTTCACAGTGACGGCAGCCGGTCTGTCGAACCCACCATTCGAAGACATTGCCGCTCCAAAAATCGAGCTCAAATCAGGCACGATATTCGAACTTGGACCTGCGAGCGAGCTCTGGAACGCAAAGTTCCCAAACGAGGCTTCCTTCTGCCTCCTCTCCTCCTCCTTCTGATGCGCCTGCAAAAATTGTCCAAACTCAAACTGCTGTTGAGGCGTCAACACCAAATCCATCCCTCCCGGACTCGACGTGACCTTGCTCACCAGCTGATGGTCTCTTTGAAAGGCCAATGTGAACAAATCCGCCAGATCAAGCTCCTTCCGGTGCTGGGCCCGTTGCTGCTGTCGTCGTACCAGCCACTCCTGAAGCAACGTTTGCTGCCTCTCTTGCTGCTGCAACTTCTGCTGCATCTCTTGGAACTGCTGGAACTGTCGGAGGTCTTGCTCTGCCTTATTACGCTTCTCAAGCTCGATTTGGTACTGAACTAACTCTTCTTGCTTGCGCTGCTGGTCGCGCTGCTGTTGTGCCAATTGCTCCTGGAACCTCATGTACGATTGCAGCTGCAGAAACTCTTGTGGGTACTCGGTCGCAAACGTGTTCATATGCGCGAGAAAGCCATGCGGGTTCGTGACCTGGAGCTGGCGAAGGAATTGAAGGTACTGGACTCGAAGGTCCTCTTGTTCCTTCTGCAGTCGTGCAGCCTCGTGGAAGGTCCACGGTGCTGCACCCTGGGCAATAGCCTGTGCCGCAGCGGCGACCGGAGGCAGAGGACGGAAGAGCGAGGGGGGGTCGGAGAGGAGTGGGGACGAGTTCTCGAACGGATCTGGGGTATTGGGATCACATTGTAGCATATACTGGAGATCGACGTCCATGAACGACTGACGCGTGGTGCGGCGAAGCATCCTTGGGACAGCCGCGGGCTGGTTGGGGTTGGCGCCGGCACCATTGGCGTCGCCGTTAATGCCACGGTTGCGGCTCTTCAAGGGAGCCTTCTGCTTCATCTGGGGCTTCATGATAGTGAGCTTTGTTTTTGAAGGATAGGTTTGTGGGGGATGTGTTATAGGTCTCCAAGTAAGGAAGAGGTAGTCAGGATGAAGAAAAAAGAAAGGGAAGATGTTCTTTGGACCAAGGTTTATATATTTTCTGCACAAATGAGCAAATGAGCAAATGAGCACGACCTTTGCCACTATCTCCAAGGATGCCTTATAAGGGAATTCTTCTGTCTGATGTTGACATCGACGAGTCTAATCCAACGTCCCTCCCCTGTGTGCGGCCATGCCGAGAGCACCGCCCTTGGGTGGCCTGGACCTCCATGAGATCCATCCGCTCCATACCGTCTCTTTTTCTTGACGTCGAAGAGGTCGAAGAGTGTGAGCGACAACCAAGAGATCCGCTTTTATTTGATGCTCATATCCTTCTCGCTACTACTATAGCTGCATATACTCGACCGTCCTGACCCCACGACTCCCACGCCCATCATCTCCGGGATCGATGCCGCAACACTCCTAATACTGCTCGCACTACTGAGCAGTCCGCCACCCAGCCCCAAGCTGGCTGCAACCTCACGTTCCCACACCCCTCCACCACCACCACCACCACCACCACCAATACCACTACTAATGCTCATGCTCTCCACATCCCCATACCTCACATAGCTGCCACCCCCTCCAATGCTACCTCCCATGCTACCTCCCATGCCATGATATCCCTCCGCAAACCGACCGAGCCCCAGTCGTTGCCCACACCTGGTCCCACAGAACCAGATCCACAAACGTGCAAGCACAGTCCTGGGCCGCGGCTGGTTCCTCAAATCCCTGATCAACACCAGCAGCGACCATCCGTGCACCAACGCAATAATAATCTCCAGCGCCATAACTGTCATTCCACCGCTCAGCTTCTCCGCGTATCCGCCACCCGTCCCCGTATTCGGATTGTTATTACTGTTGCTGTTGCTGAAATCCAGATCTAGTGGCAGTGGGTGCTCCTTCCGGAAGTCGTGCCCGGCGAGCAGCATGAATAGTACAGAAGCAAGCGAGAGGACCCGGAACAAGAAACGAAGACACCAGATCGCGAGCGCAACCTGAGTTAGTCGTAAAGATCGACGGGTGGCGACCATGAGTCCGATGGCATTATCGATGATCGAGAGGGAGGCGATCACCAGAAGTGCGTACACCGCTGCGGCCTCCGTGTGTCCGTCCACATCCCGCTCGAAAGCTGACGACTCGACTAGGCGGAAGTGGTTGAAGAGAAATGGGGTGATTCGATAGCTGTCGAGAAACGTATCCCGTTCTGGCCGACGGCTGTTCTCCTTGGTGTGAGGTTTGTTATTGCCCTTGTAGTGCTTATCCCTGCTGCTGTTGCTGGTGTCGTCCTTGCCACCGGGGTTGAACGAGAGCTGCTTCTGAGGCGGCGAAAACAAAAGATGCTTTGTGTCTTGAAGTAGAGTAATCGGTGGTAAAATTGCATGTTGGTCTAGTCAAGAGTCAAGAGGCAAAGAAGCTTATATATATGTATATATAAATGCATCTATTAAGTAAGACCGGCCTCGTTGCTTGCAACTTACAGTCGGCAAAGCTGTCGAGTGCTTGGATGTGTTTGCTGGTCGACAGGATGATGGTGGTAGCGAAGTAGATCCCATAGAGCGACACCAGGGCAACAACCAAGCGGGGCCATTCCCGGAGGCGACTGCGGTACAGGGTAAATGTCGATGTCATATATAGATATTAGTACGGGATGGGGAGGGGTATATTGGCGCGAATAAGGTATGTGTATATGTGTAGTGAAGCAATTGAGGCTGTTGAAGCAAGTGGTTGTGTTGTGGAGAACGTCGGAGGAGTGGTGGTGGGGAGGATGAGGGTATATGAAGAACGCGGGAGGGGTAAGCAGGAGCAGGAGCAAGGAGAACAAACAACAGCCCACCCCCAAGGTATCAAGACATTACCCTCCCTCCCCCGCCCTCCCTTCCCCCCATATCTGAAGGCGAGCACAATTCATGCCAAGCATGTTTTTTTTTTTTTTACGTGTTCAAGCGTTTATACGTGTTTGTGTGCTTTTGTGTTTATTTCAGTAGAACCATCGTGTACGTTGCTGGCACAGAACACAGTAGTATAGCTCCATTCAGGTACTGCTTCTCTTCAGGAAGCAAGGTATACCATAGACCACCGATGCAGCCCCAACCAGATACTTCAGTCGACACTCCTCCCTCGCCTCCTTAACTGCCTCCACAAGCGACAATTGCGTCTTGTCTGACTCCTTCGCCTCTCCAGAGCCCTCGATTCCCTCCATCTCCTGCGTCTCGTCCTCTCGGAAACTCTTCGTTGTCTTCAGAGCCTGACTGCCCTCAGCACCACCTTGAAGATTCTCTTCTAATCCCCAGTATCTGAACGCCGCCATGCTGAATCGATCCAGGTCCTTGTCCGTCACATCCCACAAGTTGGCTACAACTGTAGGGCATCCAGCCAGCAGATAGTTCATCGCGTTACCCGTCGGGTCGAACTCTCCTCCGCCTCGCATCTGTCCTGAACTACAACCCAGTAGAAGGGAAACAGCGCAATGTCCGAGCTGTCGGATCTGGGTCGACTTTACGTATTGCTCGCCTCCAGAGTGACCAAAGTAGCTGAAACGATATAGCCCCACAAAAGGAAACAAAGAAACGGATCCATTAAGTACATGACATATCGGTGACTCTTATGATTCAAAAATCACTTCCCCCTAGGAAAGATAGATAGCCGACTTACATATAAAGGTCGTTCTTGGAGAGACCATCGATGCATTCCAGATCCAAAGGCGCCCTCCCAATGATTCCGTCCCAACCTTGTTGCTTCCCTACGTATTCCTTGAATTCGTCCTCCGTATTCTTCAGATCCCCTTCAGGGTTAAGCACGTAAAATGTCTTTTGAGGGTCCACCTCCAGGTCCCGCCACTCACTGCCCCACTGCTCTCCTGCCTCGTCCATAGAGTCCTCGCCTGGGATACTGAGGCTATTCCGCGGATTCCTAAAAGGGTCTTGACCCCGCTCTTCTTTGGATATCAGATATTTTTGTTGAAGGATACGATCTCTCAGGAAACACATCGAGGGCACTCTTGAAACTGCCTCAGAACGCAGCCCTGGGCAAGACTCCCATGGGAACGTCTGCAGATGCTTGTCTAGAATCAAGATCACATGCGCCCCATCATCAAATCCGCTGTTGTTGGCCTTTGTCTCCTCTAACCAATAACGATGCAGCGCTTCCTTGATCTGCAGCGCAATCCGGCCAAACTGGACCTCTGAATATTCTACAACAGTGGATGCGGCAGCCGGCGGTGGCGCATCTACTCCTGTTGCTGATGAAGACGAAGATGAAGATGAAGTCGAAGAGGTCATGTGCTGATATAGGTAGGCGTCCAAAAGAAAATAGATCAGATCCTTGAGCACTGCGAACGAGGGCTGGTCTCCAAGGTGCAGGATCACTCGGCAAAGTTCAATATTGACCTCCAGCTGGATCTGCGACCCTTTGCTCGAAGTTGCACTAACACGCCGGCCCACTGCACGACCTCCCAGAGCAGAAGAAGCCGAAGACATGGTGTTGACGGCCTGAGACATGATCCACTCCAGCGTTTTCTTAAACTCCATCAGGTTCTCAGCGTTCGCTGGTGTGTTGTGTGATTGAATCAAGCCCTTGAGTCCACAGAGCCAATGCTCCTCCATCATCGCTAAAAGAACAGCCAGTCGATTGTCCAGAATCAGCCGCTGATTCCACCAGTTGGCCTTGACATCCCTCGGCAAGTCAGCAGGATTAAGAGGGACTCCCGCCAATCCTGCACGCGTAGCATGGAGGTTAGAGGTCACAGCCAAGGTTTCATGACTTTCCTTCAAGATATCCTGCAGCTCCTCCACCGCATCCTTAAAAGACAGTGGCGGAATCGATTCAAGTGAATCCTCTTCGTTGTCAAATCCCAGGCCCAACCCGAGCTTAAGGCCCAAATCTTGATCGTCACTCTCTCTTAGTTGAGCTCGATTCAGCGGCAGCCTAACAACAAGAGGCATGGCATTCGCCCGCATTCGGTTGACATACAGAACCTCCTGCTCTACGTCCATCGATAGAGAGACCACCGTCCAATTGTCGGGCAAAATGTCGATAAAGTCTCGTTGAAACGTCTCCGGTTGGTCTTCCATGATCAGCGCATCGCGTTCGTAAACATTGCTCAGAATTTCCAAGAACGAGCGCTCGTTGCCATGTGCAGTAGAAGGACGTAGACGACTTTGGCGATCAAAATACTCTCGCTTTCCACGGCGGGTCTTGAGATCCATAGGGTTCATGCCAACCTCCTTTAGATCCATGTCCTCCTCTTCCTCCTCCTCGTCGTGAGAATCGATATTGAAGTGGCCTCCCAAGTCCCGATTATCATCGTCATCATCCGCAGCTAAGGACAGCTGCAGTCGCCGCGGCTTCTCCAATCCGACATAGTTGATTGTTTTGTTTCCTCGCCGCTGTGCGAAAGGTTTCTGCTTCTGTGGAAATAACTGCTGTGGCGGTTGTTGATTAAGCAGAGCATGGCTATCCTTGACTTGGATGTCCCTTGGCCACGCATGGTCGTCGTGCAAAGACTCTGGGTTCAGTTTTTGCTTGATCAATCCATGCATCTCTCTGTGCTGTGTAACCGCCTTTGCCATTTCTAGGTAGCAGGCTGCCCGATTAGCCATGGCCCATAAAATGGTATTTTGAGCGGCCCTGCCCGAGTTTTCGGAGACATCGTTGTATAAGGTCGACTCCAAAACCGATAGATAAACCTGTTTCGCGCAAATGTCCGAGACCACATGCGGAGAATCGATCTTAGCCGAAAGCCTATAAGCCTCTGAAAGATGTCCCTGGGCTTCCGTCAACAATTTGTGATAATTGTCGATCAGGCTCTCTCTCGATCCATGCTGTGTTCTCTTTGAGGGTACGGCTCCACGTCGAGTCCTCGATGGACTTCCCAAAGTTGGCTCATAGGCAAGTTGAGAGCGACGGCGACGCGTCATCCTTGTAACACGGACAGACGGTGATGACAAAAGTGATCCTGGAGACGTAAAAGGGGACAAAGACACGCTCGCTTGACTAAAGTGAGCAGGCGGCGCTGCCACTTGCTGAGTTCGAGTCTTCATAAATAATCCCACAGAAAGAGCCGAGTCCGGTATCATAGCATACAGTAGGTGTTTCGCCATCGCATCCTTGAGCTCCAATATCATTACCTTGGCCTTGGTAAAATGGTATTCCGCCAGCGTGAATAACATGGGATCTTCAGCCCTCGCCCTCTCTAGTAATCCATATGCCTGCGCCCGCTGACCTTCTTGACCAAAGATTAAACTAGTTCTGTACCCCAACGCAGCCTTGATCCCACCCAGGGTGACGCACTCGAACTGGGCTTGATCAGGCGTAGTTGGACCTTGAAATGCACCAAACTGCAAGTTTGCAGCATTCCGCCCACCAATCCCTTGACGGCGACCGACTGTAACCAGCTTGGCCTCACGGGGTGTCTGTGGTTCCCTAATCACAAGCTGCTCAAGCCCCAAAATAAACGACTTGTCCATTAAATGCGACAGCACATCGTCTGTACGGTAGTATGCCTTCAGTGATAGATCCCACTGCTCGATTGCAAAATAGAGATCGCCGTTCAGCAACTGGATCCTCGCATCCTGAACCTCCCAGGCCAGGGCACCGGCGTTCGATTCATCCTCCTGCATGGCCAGGTCCTGCAAGATCCGTTCGCTCTCTAGCCACTCGTGTTTCCGCAACCCCAGTTCTGCTTCTTCCAGAATGAAACGGTCCATAGATTTGCCAGCCTTGGATAGAAGTGCGATGCGTTTGCCCTCCTTGACGAAATACTGGGCTTCGCGAACGCTACCCTGGACCAAGTACAGCTTTCCCAATTGGTGGTAAGCCTCAATCAAAAGCCTGAAAATCGACCATTGATATCGCTGATTTGCCAGCATCTCGAGACCCTCGTGTAATTGTCTATTCTCCACGGATGGTCGGTCCTGCGTCGAGCTTTGCCGTGGATCAGTAGGTTGTTCCTGTACTAAAAACGGATTCTCCATCGGTTGCTGAGCGACGATATCGGGGTCCCTATTTGCTGCTTTGATTGCCGTCGAAAGGGAGGAGACAATGCGACTCAGTTGTCGGCCAGCTCGTTTCGAGTCCAAAATCGCCTCAGAGAGATCGCCCTCATAATAAAGCAACTGCGATCTAGCCAGCGACGCCTCCACCAAGATCAATGCTCTGTGAACCTTGGCTTCAACCTTTCGAGATAGCGATCCTTTTTTGATGACTGTGCTGGAAGTTCCTTCGCGACCGTGGATCAAGGGGCGACTAATATCAGAATAATGTCTTGCCTGGTTGTATGCTGTCACGCCCTGAAGTTTGTGTCCGACTGATGTGAGGTACAAGCTGTAGACGAGAAGCCATGTTGTGTATACTTCGCCTTGGTATATTGACTGTTTCGATGTCCTCGACATTTCCTCCAGAAGGAGCTTTCCATGGTTCAGGGCCATCTTAGCTTTTCCCGAGTATCCAAGCGCGAGATATGCCTGTCCCATTCGAGCATAGATTCGCACAGCGTCTAGTAGCCGATCAAAATCAGCAAGGTGATATAAGCATCGATTAATCAGTGTTCGACAGAGGTGAAACAGTTCAAATAGTCATAAAACACCTACTCAGAAGCGATCAATCTTACCTGCGCAGGTATCTTCCGTCACGGTCATGACGCCGTTGCAAAGTTTTAGCATAAGGAGACAGATTTGTACTTGCAAGACAAGGTAGTCATTCATGCCCAAACAATCCGACAGCATTTGCAGGTGATCAAACAGCAGCTCAGGCTCTGGTAGTTGCTTCAAGGCCTGCTCAACTTTGGATCGATGGTTCACTAGCTCCAGATCTTCGCAAGATATGAAGCACTCAATATCGGAAAGAGCGATCTCCCAGAGCTGCAGCGCAATTTGGAACGGCTTTGATTTTCGAGAAAGTCCATTGGTCCTACAGCGATCGAGAACTCCATACCACGAGTACGCTATCGCCAGATGATGGTTCCTGACGGGTTCCAGTTCTCGATCAGCCTTCAGGTCTCTCTCCTTCAGGATCTCTATCGCCTCTTCCACAAGATGAAGGGCCTCCTGCTGCATATCCTTCTCTGAATTGTCCTGGTGCAATACTGCGAGTTTGACTAGGACACGCGCTCGCCGAATCGGATTCGTAAGCGCCCTGCCACCTTTGTAGATCTTTGACATTAGGTGCTTCAAGATATCGGATTGCTCCCGTAAACGCTGTTTGACTTGGTTTGTTCTCACGCTCAGCACCGACAAGAGGTTGCATTCGAATTCCTGCACGATGCCGCACAGAAAAAGAGGTATTCCAGGTTGAGTCATCTTTGACTTGAACTCCGGCACCGAGATGAGCACAGATTCGAAGCTAGATCCCTGCATCGTAAGCAGTGCTCGCGCACGCCTATTCAACAACTTTGCGGCGGGAAGCTGGGATGTTTTTATATCAGTCAACGCAGGCATGTCGATGGCGTGAAACGCACTGAGAGGCAGGATACAGAGTCCAGAGTTGAAGCACTCTAGTGCCAGCTTGAGGTTATTGACAGCTTGGAGGCACACCCCTAGGACCTCGTAGCGATTCGCCAGGACCAGTCTTGCCTCAACTTTGGACCCATCGCTGTTGTCGCCCGAATCTTCCAGGCTGGCGTCGGCCAAAAGATCCTCACCAAGCCAGGCTTGATAGCATTCAATCGCAACCCTGAGAGGACGGATGGCCTCCTCTCGCTTGCCTGCCTTGAATAGGGCTCCACCATGGTTGTAAAGGGCATTTGAAATCCATGGAAGTGATTCACTGTCCTGCATCTCCTTAGCCATGGTAAAGGCAGATTCAAGATAGTCCTCAATTGCTCTCACCTCGATTGACGCCATTGTGCTGAGATTAGACTGGTGCAGTCGGAAGAGAAAGAGGATGGCGTCGACTCTTGCACAGGACAGTTTTGCTGGATTTGGAACGGCTTTGCTGTCGGATTTGTACACGGCCTAATAATAATAAGAGATATAGGAGTTGGTCACACTTCGAAAGCGTGGGAGTGCTTATATCCTGATATAAAACAGACTTTCGTACTTACCACATAATCGATCTGGACACGACTCCACAACCCAGCTGAAACAGTTGACAGTGATTGAATAATGACTAAAGTTGATCTGAGGCATAGCAAGGACATCTGCCTTGAACTTGACATCGCGACTATGTCAGCACCACCCACGCTGGGCCCCTTTTCGAGCTTATCCATAATTTTCGATCCGATGCTCCGTATATTGTCCATGGACCGAAAGATCCGAGCAATATTCTGCAGAGTAGCTGAGGCCAAACTCTCGCTCGGAATTGACGGTAGTACATGTTCCAGAGACGACAATGCCCCTTTCGCGTTTTCCATACTGTCCTTTACATCCTGTTCTATAACATCATTCAAATAAAGAAAAGATTGGTATGATAAGCGATCGGTTCTTACACTTCGGTTATGGATATGACATCGTTTTGGACAAGCATAGATACCTTTTGATGGCGCTGAAAGCCAATTCTGTAAGGCATCCTCAAACGACCTTAGCGCCACAACTACTTCTTTGAGACAGCCAATTGCCAGATGTGCGGAAGCAGCGTCTGAACCTGAAGATACAGCGGCAGTCGGTAATACAGTTGACGCCGTTGCTGATCGAGCGACTGGGGTAGGCTTCTGCTTCGTTTCGGTAGCTATGGTAGGCGATATGAGGTGCCGAGTGGGGGATACCAATTGTTGCGTTGAACACGCTGTTGTTGCCTCTGTCATGTCCTGATCCTGATCCTGATCCTGATCCTGGCCGCTGTCCAGGATCTTCTGCACAAATGCTTGGATTGCTTCATCGTTAACCTATTTGAAGTTATATAGCAAACGTCTAGTAAATGGCTTGTCCAGGTCTGGGCTTCTTGTTTTGAAATGAAAAAGATGGAAGCCTACCTTGTGTGCGAAATGGTGAAGATGCTTATACCACTCCTGGAACCGAGGATTAGAGATATCGATCGTCTCAAGGTCGACGAGGAATTGGAAAAACACCCTATACAAATTCACAAGATGCGGTATGTCTTCTTGACTCCTCCCATCCCTTGTCGCCTTCTCGTATTCAACGCCGCATCTCAGAATCTTATCCCAGATCATGCCGTCCTTGATCTCGGAAAGGTGTTTGTGCGCTGCATAATAACGCATTCCATGCATTCTCAGCATAAACGCATGATAATGACCCTCTATAATGAAGCCATGGACACTGGTATTAATTACCAACATAAGAAAACCTTATGAACTGTCAACGTTCATGGCGGTCAGTCCTTACCTCGAGTAGGATTATTTTCGACAGCATTTCCTGCACCAATGAACAGCAGTCGAAAGAGGGCGTCTAGAGACTGCAAACCAGCTTGTCTCTGCACCTTGGCCAAGAACATGCACCAATCGTAGGGAGACTCAGGTTGAGACATCATCTCTGGTAGTAGCTATTAGCGGAAGAAAAGCAAGCGTCAGCCCTGTGAAAATAATCAAGATGTCTATAGAGTCATCGTCGTTGAATTCATCCGGTGGACGTACATATGCCAAAGATCCGTTCCTGACGTCCATCCAACAACGCAGAGTATTATTGTGCAGCGCTTGAACCAGCCTGATAAAGGTCAATGCCTGATCGAGTCCACTACCGGCTGAAGGCGGCGCGTCCTGTGTTGAACTGGCAACTAGCGTCTGAAGGGCTCTTGGGAATGGAAATGTGAAAAGATGCTGATATGTTGTTTTGATCGAGTCGACAGACGAAGATGGCGCAGCGCTGAAGCCACTCCGAGACCTTGGACGTTGCTGCTCCTGTTTATTTTTGGTACCCAATTCCTTCTCGCCCCATATTGATACGGCACATTGGATCAGCTGCTCGCGTAAGAACCCAAGCTCCTGCAGTGCTCGCTTTTTCTACAAAGAGTAGAGTTCAGACAAGAGTGTCCTTAATCAGTTTCATATCCAATGCTCAGAACTGCAATGATCCGTGGCAATGTGATGGCAACGTAGTCCTTACCATTCCAAGCTGAATAACTTTAGAAATCAGGTTCGAGCGCGCCTTTTCGATTTCAAACACACTGGTCGATATGTCGTTGCCCATTAGCTCCAGAATCCGTACTCCCAGAAAACCAACATCGATCAAAACAGTGATATGGACAAATGTTGGCTGATCCGTATCGTAGATCGGAACTTGCTTGCCGACTTTTTTATTTCCAAGACTGAGCGACGATGGTCCTGTCATGAATGCCGATGACTCCGTCATTACCGTTACTTGCTGTGCCCCTGCTGCAACTGCCCTTGATGTTCCCGGTATAGTCGGTTTGTTGGTCCGTGCCTTCATATCCACTTTTGTGATCCCAGGGATCGGATCGACGTCCTTCCTTGCACCACGCATAAGCCCGACACGCCTCTGACTGGAGTTATCGTCGACATGATGTGATGGATCCTTGGCTGCATAAAGTGGTCGCATCGATTTGACCACGGATCCGGAGCGCGATCTGTTCACTGCTGTCGAGGCGATAGCGGTAGCATGCTTTGTCGTGACGACGGTTTTATTAGATATTGTCGTTGTTGTAGTTGAAGACACGACTGTTGTGGTGGCGGAGCTGATGCCAGCGTTGCTCGTAGTAGCTACTGTAGAAGCTGTTTCTCGTGCTACAATGTCAGACGAGTCGGGCTTGACGACCTCGGACCATTTGGTCAATGTCGCAAGGCTCTGGTTGAACAGTCGCTTGACCTGCTTTCCCAGAAACGCCGCGTTGTCGTCAGGCGCATTGCCTTTGAGCGAGGAGGTAGCAACATTTCGGCTGTTTGACTGTTTCTTCTTCGATATAGAGGCCTGTAGCGAGGATAGCAGATCGGTCAGCTCAGGAACGAGCTGCGCGTTGTATCGTCGATGGTCAGCCAAAGAGTCGATAAGTGTATCAAGTGCAGCGTGTTTTTGCGCTGCATGAGGGTTCATTTCCCTCGCTGACATATCTGTGTTACTTTTAATGTGGAGCGGAACAAAAGAAAAAGAAAAAAAAAGAACAACAGGGTCACGAGGAATGTGATGATGAGTGAGAGGAAAGGAATAGGAGGATGTTAATGGGGACGATGGGAAGGAGTGCAGGGGAGAAAGAGCGATTCGACCCAAGAAAGTGGACGCGCCGGTAGAAAGACGACAACACAAAGCCACTTTCAGGTACGCAGAACGCGGTTTAATTTGCTTGTTTTGTAGTTCTACGCGCCAAACCTCGGGAATTTTTATTGTATCAGGGTCGTAATAAATAGCAAGATCGCTGTTCCTATCTTTACAATTCTGCGTGGACAACCTTGTCGGCATCCATCTCGATTTCTCCCGACGCGGCGATCTTGACATCCTCCTTGGGGCGGTCGCCATGGAGCGTGGGCGCGTTCTCGATCGCAGTAACAATATCCATACCCTCCATCACCGTGCCGAATACAACATGGCGTCCATCCAACCACGAGGTCTTGACGGTGGTGATGAAGAACTAGTATTGTTTGCCGCGTCATATTCACAGTCCAATTGAATACATGTCAGTTCACATACCTCAATAAAAAGCCAAAAGAGAAACGAATGAAGAAAAAAGAGAATGCCTACCTGAGATCCGTTGGTGTCCTTGCCGGCGTTAGCCATGCTCAAGATTCCGGGACCGGTATGACGAAGCTTGAAATTCTCGTCAGCAAACTTGGCGCCGTAGATCGACTTTCCTCCAGTGCCATCGCCATTGGTAAAGTCGCCCTATACGAATACGAGGAGATACATTCGACGTTTGCATCAGACTCATTGCCGTCTCTTATAAAGTAAACACAATTGAACCAAGAGTGCAGGTCCCTTCGTGCTAATCGACCTTTACGATCAAACAGATTTCCATGTGCAGTATGGGTGACTTACTCCTTGAATCATGAATTGCTATATAGTGGCAATGTCGAGTGGAAAGATAATTAATCGTAAGATTCTAGGGCTCAAAATCCAGTAACATTCAATTGTAGTTGCACCTGATCGTCAGAAGATTCGTACCTTGATAACACGGTGGAAGGAGGAACCAGCGTAACCGAATCCCTTGGTGCCCTTGGCGAGCTCGAGGAAGTTCTCGCTGGTCTTAGGGACAGTCTGTGCAAACGAAATCGTGGTCAGCAATCTTTTGAGTCGATACAATAGCGCGCTTCAACAAGTAATACGAAAGAAATGCTGTACCTTTCCGAAGAGGCCAATGACAATGCGGCCAAGTGGTTTGCCACCCTGCTCGATATCGAAGTAGACTATGGGGATCAAAGTGCAACATGCAACCGATAAGTATAAGTATCCTGTTTGTTCGAGTTACTGAGTGTAGCCTGGGCTTGTGAAGAAGTTTGGTCGCGTACCCTTGTTGGTGATAACGGGTCCCTTGCCAGCCTGGGCCGTGATGGCAAGGACCATGATGGCCATAAAGCAGATGAGAGTGCGCTTGAATGAAATCATGGCGGAGAGGGGTAGTGATGAAGAGGAGAGGATGATGAGGCCGCGGTTTTATAGCCCTGATGATGTCACCGAAAGTAATAACGTTTGAGCAACCGAATAGTCCTTCCCTCTCTGATGTGAACTGATATCCCAAGATTTATGGTTCGAATTTAGTGCAATTCAATTCTATTATTACCCAAGGAGGAGGGGGAGCGAGGGCCCTCTCATCCTTTCTTTTCGTTCATCATTCATCACCTCATCGTCGTCGTCGTCGTCGTCGTCGCCATTCATCCTTCCCCTCCTTTTAAATCCTGATTGGCTTTTATCCCTATTTCGACACACCCTCCCTTTTCTCCACTCCCACAAGTCATGTATAAGTCGCCCAGCAGTGCCCCGTCGCTCTTGCCGACCTCGGGCGCCTCATCGCCCACATTCCGGGCTGCCCACCCACTGGCCCGTGTGCTCAAGTCGAGGGTTGCAAGGACAGTGGCCCTTGCCTACATCGGCTTCTGTGCCCTCTTCACCTTGAAGCATCTTTTCTCTTACCACTCCAAACCAGCCCCCGTTATCTATAAGCATTTCGATCTTGAGAGGACATACGATCCAGGTACGGATGGATGGCCTGCCAGCTCGGTTGGTTCTCCAAGACCTTTTCTCCCTCTTGTGCCCTGAGAGTACAAAAGACAAAGACACACTTTGCTGCATTTAGCCTTTGCTGACTCGCCACTCGATCAACCTGAATAGATGAACCCTACTCGGTGGTCTCAAACCTCTCTTCGAATGCGATCCTCTCCAAGATGTTCACCTACAGCACACCTGACATCACCGACAATATCCAGCCGTTCTTCGTCCGCTCTAGCTCGACTCCTCGACCAGACGAGATTACCCTTGCTACTTTCATCCCTCAGAACGAATTCTCGGAATTGGTTGCCCTCGTAGAGCGCTTCCCTGGTAAGCTGACATTCATTGTCCATCGACAGTATGGTGGGAGAAACATATTGGTTGATGTCTAATTGTCTGATTGTGCTGTAATTTATGACCCCGATAGGTCCTATCTCTGCGGTGCTGCATATCGACAGTCCATCGGACTTGCCTGGTGCACCCAACCCGATCAAGAGACTTCAAGCTCTGCGTGCTAGTAACCCAAAGGTGCGCCAGCAGGTCGACATCCATCTTATCACCACGCCCCCAACCCATCGCCAGAGCGTTTTTCTGCAACAAACCAACCTCCACCGCAACATCGCCCGCTTCTTTGCTCGATCTGACTATGTACTCTTGCTGGATTCGGATGGTTCTCTGCCTATGACCGATGTGGCCAAGAGTTTTGCAAACTACCCTCAGTGGATGGACAAGCTCCGTGCAGGCAACGTCTTTGTCCTACCAGGATTCAATGTCTCGATGACAAGCCCAGTTGATGAAGAGCAAAATACCAATGCTGGGCTGGTCCCAGCGCTGGCTCAGGCATCCTTGCCCACCGACAAGGAGTCGCTGCTCGATTTTGTTCGTACGGGTCAGGTTGTGCTATCTGAGAAGACCTGGAAGCGAACCATCCGCAACGTCGATTTCAATACCTGGGCGACCCAAACTCGTCTGAGCGCTATTCAGAACTATGACCCCTATTTCAGCCCATCTGTCGTCATTCGAAGGGATAAGATGTTATGGTGCCCAGAGAGATTCGGCAACAACCATGCTGCCTGCATGTTTGAGCTCTACTTGAGCGGTGCTGACTTTTGGGTTCTGCCCAACGATTTCACCGTCAATGGCGGTACTCGAACAGAGCTACAGACCACAGAACGTGAGGTGTGTATTTTTTTTTTTTTTTTTTCGTGCGGTTTCGAGTGTCCCAAAAGAACAGGATGCATATGCTAACATGTGGTCGATGTTATACTTCGCATTAGAAAACCATCAACACCCGTCTCTACCAAAAGTTCCATGAAGAATCCTGCTTGAAGCATGCGCGCGCCTTTTATGCGGCAGGTGAATGGGACTCTGATCGTGCCCGCCACTGCCGAATCAGCTGTCAAAAAGGTAATGATATACTATTTAACGCCTGATCATACCGCACAGAGGAAAGACATGGATCTAAAGGCTAACCTTTTGCGCCACTTCATTTCACTTCATAATAGTGCTGGCTGTTTGGGGTCTTGTTATTCGACAGGCGTAAGGACCAGGACTTTGAATATACACATACACATCAGTCATTTTTAATAAACGAGCATTACTTGGTCAAACGGTTTACAGATGCGTGTATGAAGACCAGGGCAATGACTACATCATCATCATATTAGCCGCGTTTCAACCAAAGTAAAGCAGTACCTTTTTTTTGCCGAGGAAAGGGAGGGGTTTATTGCTTGAGGGTGGTATACAGCAGACTATTGGCATAAATTATTGATGGTTTGCGAATGCAAGCACTTGTCTGGCGATCCTTTGTTGGTCAATGCGCTTCTCCCCGAACGGGAGTGTCCCTTTCAGGATCATCCTGGCCAGGGTCTGTCGCTTCTGCATGCCCTCAGAGTTCTTCCATCTAACAAGCAAACTCAACACCTGGTTCCTGTTCACGCTCTCTGTCACACGGTAACATACGTCCATCGCATGTTCGAGGGACGATTGCTCTGACATGCTATTTCAAGTATAGAGGACAAAAAAAGTTTTGAGTACTCGTTATAAACACGAATATAAATCTTTTTCTCGAACTTGAGATCCTCTTTACCTCAAGTCCGTTTCCAGTAAGACCTTTACACACTGGAATCTGAGTCGGATAGCTGCTTCTGCCAAAGCGTTGTTCTCCTGACATCGGATGTTGGGGTCAGCTCCGTAGTCCAAAAGGGTCTCAACAACAAGGGCATTATCGTTAAGAATGAACGATGTCATCAGAGGCGTACGGCGTTCGCTATCCTGAGCGTTGGGGTTGGCACCCTTCTTCAGCATGTACACTAAGGACTCGTGCGAGTTCCGGCCGAAGAGTGTCAGCAGATGAAGAGGGGTTTGGGAGCTGTCATCCAGCTCGTTCAAGTTCAGCCTTGGACCAGCAGCTTCGCACAGCAATCTCATGACCTCGTAGCTATCGCTCATTGCCGCCGCGTGCAAGGGTGTTCTGCCTGACATGTTATCGTACGGCTCCATGACGTTAGCTCCATGGTTAAGATGCCATTTGACAGCCTCGATACTGCCGTTTCGACATGCCATAAAGAAATCCTTGATTTTGGTTTTGCCGTCCCGTGGAATCCAGTTGTTACTGTTACCGTTGCTATTACTGTTGCTATTCTTGGGAGTATCATACACGTTATTGCAACCTTTTGGTTGGACCGCCGGAATAACAGGCAAGTATTCGCGCGGTGGGTGGATTAGTGTGCCGTAGGGCATCCCTGGCACTGCTGATTCCAGTTGAACCTGGCGAACAATAACGTTGTTGTCCATGTTGTGTGGCTGGTATATCTTGTAGGGCGCTGGTCCGGGATTTAAATACGAATGTGGAGGCGGAAAGCCGATGTGATGCTGCTGTAGGGGCGGATAAAGAGGAGAGTTCATGGATGGCATAGGCATCTTTGTTGGTAGTATAGGCGAATCTGGCGCCCCCTTCTCCGGGATACTGTCTTCGAAAGCGGTCATCTCGGGCAGTGCTGCTGAAACATTGACGGGCTTTGGGCTATGCCGCAACGCGTCCTGGTTTGTATATGGAGGACGTTGGAAAGGCTTGACAGAGTTGATTTGCAGTGGTGAAACTGGCTGTTTTGGCGAAACGGGGTGTGCGTGACCCCCAGCTGAGGCTGGTCCTGCACCAGCGCCTACAGCGCCATGTGTCCGCAGAGAGCGGACCGAGGCAATTGGTGAGGTCATTGTTTGACCAGACCATCTATCCGTCGGTGCCGGTTCTTTTTTTTTTTTTTTTTATCAATTCACAGGGACATGGTCAGCAACCTAGCAATGTAAAGTCTTTCAAGATCGAGAAAAAAAAGCTTTCAGTGCCTACCCTCAGAAAGCTTGACGTTAGATAGACGGCCCGGTAAGACAGCGTCTAGACCATTATCTACATCCACATTGACAATGACAGGTGAATGGCTCCTGGAGTGGTGATTCCTCAGATTCAAAGGTGCCACGCTAGTGATTCCAAGCGTCGTGCTGTATCCATTTGAATGGCCCTTGTTAAAGGGAACTACTGGTGCGGCAATAGGGGCCGAATTCGGTTGTGGCTCCATCGGTATCGGCACAGTATGTGGCACTGTAGGTAATGAGCACGACCCAGGAAGGTGCTTGGGATGAATAACATGGATTTCGCCGCTCTCTTCCGACAGCATTGAATTTAACTTCTGCAAGATCAAAGGTAATGCTGGTCTGCTCAATGGTTCGCCATCCCAACATTGCTGATAGAGTCTCGAGTATTCCACCGGCGTTCCAGGGATAATCTCCTCACGTTTCCCTCTCATGATCTGAAAAGGAAGCAAAAAGTTTTCGCCGTCGTGGTTAAAGGGCGGATGTCCTGATGTCAGCTCCCACATGATAACGCCCAAACTGTAGACGTCTGAGCTGTGATCGAACGGTGAATTGCGGAGACGTTCAGGAGATATGTAGGGCACAACTCCTCGGACGCCATTGTTGGAGTTGGCATGGTTCAGGTATCGGGAGAGGCCAAAGTCTGTGATAAGTGCTCTACCGGACTGGTCGATCAAGACGTTCCTGGAGTGTAGATCGTGGTGGCAAATGTTGTCTTCGTGAATAAAACTGATTCCTGCTGCGACATCCCTGGCCAGCCTCATCTTGTTAGTCCAGTCGAGCGAGTCAAAGTGACGAGAGAGATAGTCGCGAAGGCTTCCTTTGCCTGCAAACTGCAGCACCATACCGTAGTCGCCATTGCCCTTCATCCGCGTGATGCCGTAGAACTTGACGATGTTTTCAGAGTCCTGCACCAGCTTATGAATCCCGACCTATAGATTGTGGCAAGATATCAAATAGCGACAGTAAGGAATTGATTCCACGCACTGCCTCTTGCGTTCATGTAGCGAGCGGCGTAGTCAAGAATATTGCCCACCGCCGTCGTTGTCCAAGCTCTCCTCTATTGGCAAGAAGGCAAAGTAACGATTTCGCGGCACAGGCGTGCTGAAAATACCCTCCAATCTGCTTGCGTCGGCATCCCTCAGTGGTTATAGGAACAAGACACCGTTCCCGAGTACACTCCTGCCTGTGCGTGCAGTAAAATCTCTGTCTAGTGTCGTCCCTCGCAGGTCCTGGATAGTGATCTTTCCTCAAACATAGGGAGCAGCTGAGAAGTTTCAACTTTCAGCTTTCGACTGTTTTCCTTACCTCTTGAATGAAATCAGCTGGGTTGTACAGCACTTTGACAGCAACCCGCATCCCACGCCACTTGCCGGCGTGGATCATGCCGAATCCTCCGCTGGCGACGCCCATCTGCAGGTCTTTAATGTCATTGAAGTCGATGTGTCGGAGCAGCCTGTCCTTGATGGCGCCCTCGAGCCATTGCTGTTCCTTGTCATTGAGCAGGACCACGGGCGCTGTGTTGTCGGCCATACGTCAGTCGGTCCGCTGGGTGGGGTGTAGCAAGTGACCGTGGTTTCCTGTGTGCGGGAGTGTATGTGTGTATGTATGAATGTATGAAGGCGTGAGGGCGTGAAGGTGCGTTGTGTGGAGGGTTGGAGAGTTCCCCAGTTAAGACGTTTGAGACTCGGGTGTGTTCTCAATCGTAGGTTAGAGATTGATAGGAGTGATGAAAATGGTGAGGAGAACCAGTGAGTAGATAGGATGTGAGCGTGGGTGTTGTTGGATAGGTAGTGGGTATGCGCGTGAGCGTCGAGAGAGTAAAAGAAAAAGGGACAAAGAGACAAAGAGGAAGGGACAAAGAAAAAGGGACAAAGCGACGAGGAGACGGCGAAGGAGGGATGGAAGAATGAGCCAGACGCCAATTGAGTTCGGATGGACACTCCTGGCCACTGCAGCCGATGAGTGAGTCGCGAGACAAAGCGATGGGCGAGTTGTTTTTTCCTTTTTTCGGTGGCAAAAATATGGGGACACAGGAAAACAAGGGGGTCAGGCGTGGGTATGCGTGGGTCCAACGACTTGCACGCACACAGTGCAGTCGTAATGACCGCAATGCTCATAGACCCTACTCTACACTCTACAGAATGTCAGCCTCGTCGATGTGTACCCCTGTTCGTTTGCTTACAGTACAAGACTGGTCCAGATCCAATAGAACGGTGTTGAGCAAGTGGGCGGGCGGGGTGCGTCGTACAGGGTACAGGGACACACACTGCATACAGGGCACATGGATGGGTGGATAGGATTATCAATGCTCTCTACTTCATATCAATGCCATGGTACCATGATACACCATGCATCAGTATTTCCAATGTTTCGCTCCACATGCATACACCGCCGGTAGATAAATAGGTTTATTATGGGTAAGAAGTAAATAATATTTTGTACAAGTACAACATAGCGTACAGAGGGGAAACGAAGGAGGGAAAAGAAAGAGAAAAGAAAAGAAAGACCCACGTAGTCGAGTAGCCACGTGAAGAATGTACTGCATTCGGACCAAGCGACTAGACATCACGGACCCTGTCCCTCGCCTGTTGTGTTTGACAAGATTGCGCTCGCAGTGTCCACTGCGCTGTGGTATACCCCGTTTTGCCCCGCCATCATGGACGCCTGTTGCTGGTTCACCGCTGAAAAGTATCCATTACCATCCGGTCCATTGTTCGGGTTCGTTGTGGTCGAAGGTGTCCCGTTCTTGTAGGGGTGCATTCCAACGCTCCCTTTGTTTTGGCCTGGTCCATTGTTCATTGAAAGGTTTCCATTCAACACCATTGACGGCTGATGAAGCGACGGTCCATGTAGTGTACCGCCTACACCGCCTATCCCAGCTGCGATCAGAGAGCTAGGCGCAAGCAAGCTGCCGCCAGTATTCAATCCAGACGGTACCTCCTGCAGTCCTGCTGGTGCTCCCGAAATTACCGTCTCTGCAGAGGCCTCCTCTGTCATGCTGGCTTTCCGTTTTGCATTGGAGTCCTTGCGTCCAGCTCCTTTACGACTACGTACTGGTGTACTTCCGTTCCCGCCGCCAGTAGCCGATCCTTTGGTGCCGGCATGTCCTGCGCCGGTCAAGGTAGGCGCTGTTGATGCTGTCCGTACTCGCTTGCTTGATTTGGTCGATGGAGTCGCTGCAGCTGATGGGGTGCTGACTACCGTTGACGGCGCGAAGATGGGTGAAGTTATGGATGAAGGGGCCTGTAGAGGCGACCCCACGAGATTAAGACCAAGTCCGGTGGCCATGCCTTGTACAGGTGCTGATCCTTGGAATTTATGCATAATGGTGTGGCCCAGCCTTGATGTCTCGATATCAGTTGCTCCAGGCTGTGAGTCGTCCACTGCTGGTGACGCAGTCGGTGAGGCCATGTAGGTTGATTCGCCTGGGGACATAGCGACAGATGTCCTTCGTTTTATTGACCGAGGGGAAGCAGAGGCACGCATTTGGCTTTGGCTGCCGCCAGATGCAACGTTGTTCATCAGGGCGTGTTGGTTAAAGGGTTGAAGTAGCGCTGGTGCCAGCACTGGTGTCGAAAAGTTGTTGACCATACTTGGCGGATTGGCCTGTATGCTCGGCTGTCGAGGCCTCATGAATGGCTGTCTCTCTCGAAGCAATTGCGAATACGCCGCCAGACTCTCTATCAATCGAACCATGGGTTAGTTTCGAGGCACCTTCACTGATACACCCATACATAGAGTGGATCCTGAACATATTGCCGATGCCCTTTATTACCTGCTGGCCTTCGCTTTGTATTCGCGCTGTACTGAATCAACTCGTTCATCTTAGAAGATACATCCGACACCTGTGCCGAAGAGTGAAATGGCAACGACTATTAGTATTAGACCAAGATCAGTGCGGCTGCCAAGATTCCTTGAAGATGGTAAAACTCACCTCCAGCAAACGCATGGTCTTGGGCGACACTCCAAACTCGTTAACGACACTCTCGGGGATACTCTGGGCGAGCTTCTTTGACAACAATGCTGCACGCTTCGAATTACCCTTCTTCTTCCCTTCCGTTTTTGGTTCCATAAGTGGGCTGGTGGATGAGTCTTCAAGGGGTCGCTGGATGTACTCCACAAAATCCAGCGATGTCAACTCGAACATATCAAATTTGAACTCATTAGTGAATGTTGCTTTAAGCGCTCCTTTCGAGAAAACCTATCATACATTCATTAAACGATGTTAGTCTTCTGGTCGGAATGTAAATCTTGCTTGCAGTGATATCACGAAAGAGTAGTTACCTTGGACCCGTTCGTATAGTGGGAAACAACAATAACGCTAGGACATTGGACAGTGAAAGGCAGTGCTGATGTTTGACCTAGCGACTTTTCCAGGATCAACTGCAGTTCTTTGACACCTGCCTCCACGTTTCCAAGGTAAAACCGAGGGAGTGACGGGGCCATCAATTCTACAAGGTAATATGGAGTCAGTCCAAGTTCGGCACCTAGATGCGCCGTGTTTAAATAATCACTCCTCTATAGACGTACCGAATACCTTGCTATCGCTTGTAACTGGGTTAACGAGTTTGTATCTCAGGCTCCCAGTGTTTCCATAGAATTTGGCGACAAAGGTCTGCCAGAAGTGAATAGTTTGGTGCTACAAGTCAAGAAAATTAAAGGTCGTCAGACACTGAACGATTAAAGTCAATGAAGGTCAAATATATACTTCCGGAATAGTTGTACCTCCTCACTGAACTCGAACGCTCGACTGAATTCGGTTATCCGCAAAAGCGCCTTTGACGCCCGCTCCTCTGCTATGGAACCCTCCTGTGAACTACGTGGAACAAATAATACTAATAAATGGACCATGGCAAAGATAAAGTAGATAAAAGGTGCACCCGGATACATTTCCCTCTGCTCGGCATGTACCTTTGCTGCACCATCGACACCGGCAGTGAAGGGTTCAATTGCGCTAGTCTTGGGGACGCTCCTGGAGGCAGTGGTACTTGAAAATGTGGGTGTTGCTGCTGAAGGACATGTGTCTGCAAGGGGTACTGTTGTTGCTGTTGTTGCTGAGTCATTTGAGAGGGCTGTTGTTGCTGCACTATATTGGGAGGCTGTATAGCTTGCTGAGCTGTGCGCGTTTGCTGCTGCAGCGGGTGCCTTAATGGCTGCTGTGGCTGCGCCTGCTGCTGAGGTATCTGCTGTTGCTGCTGATGAGGTATCTGGTGTTGTTGCTGTGGTTGCTGCAGTGGCTGCTGTTGCAGTTGTGGTTGCTGTAGCGATTGCTGTTGCTGTTGTTGTTGCGATTGCTGTTGTTGTTGTTGTTGCTGCTGTTGTTGTTGCTGCTGCTGTTGTTGCTGCTGTTGTTGCTTTTGTTGTTGTTGTTGCTGTTGCTGCAATAACTGCTGCTGTTGAAAATGCTGCTGCTGCTGCGACTGGCGTTGTTGCTGAAGTTGCATTTGTATCTGTGATAACTGTCCCGGCAAAAACGAAGGTGACTGTTGATGGGCCGCATCCGCTATCCCATGCGCCAGATTGGGGCTAGCTTGAGGCTGCAGATGCTGTGATGGCGTGGTTTGAGTGTGCGATTGCTGGTTCATATGCCGGTCAGCAATATGGCTCTGTTGCTGCTGAATCTGGAGTTGGTGCTGTAGCTGTTGTTGTTGCTGCTGCTGCAAGTGATCCTGTTGTTGCTGCTGCTGCAAATGCAGCTGCTGCTGTTGTTGTTGATGGTGCAGTTGCAACTGAAGTTGCTTTTGAATCTGGGATCGCTGATGTTGCTTTTGAATCTGGGATCGCTGATGTTGCTGTTGTTGTACATGTTGAAGATGTGGGGACATTTGTGATTGAGCGGCCACTTGAGACTGGGGCGTCTGCAAATGCTGGGTGTGAGGAGACATGGCTTGTTGTTGCAGCTGTTGCAGTGAAGCCAAGGAAATTTGAGGCGACATGCGGTTCTGCTGCTCTTGCTGCTGCTGCTGCTGCTGCTGCTGGAATTGTTGAAGCTGAAGATGCTGGGCCTGCGGCTGCTGGAGATGTTGCATTTGAAGCTGCTGTAGCTGATATTGATTCAGTGGCTGCAAATGTACTGCCATCTCGACTCCGGAGACGGCGATGGGGTGCTGTAATGCCAGATTTGACATCCCTACGATTCTGGGTGTCGCATGGTTGGCATCAGCCATTAGAGTGCCAGCTGCCGGAATCTGGCCTGAAGGGTCGATGGATTGAGCGTTGATATTGCTGGCGTTGCGTAGTGGGAGTGTCGTTGCGCCGTTGATGCCGAACATCCTTGCTCGGAAAATGTCCGTATATATGGAAGCGAAAGTACTCCCCTACTGATGGATCCTTGACTTAGTAGAAGCAGGCCCAAAAATATCCTTGATGCGTATTCGTCGGCACGTCTGAAAGTACGATAGATGGTCCTGAATGGCGATATGGCTGAGAGAAGACTAGTGCAAGATATCATGGCAAGCCAGTGATGTTGTCAGAGAGAGAGAGTCCGTGGGCTGAGCGTTGCATTTACTCGGGGCTAGTCGCGTCGTTACCTCAAAGTCAATCGAAGGACAGCAAACTGAAGCAGACGGAAGAGGTCGATTCCATCAGATGTTATTGACTCGATGATGGCAGGTGATCCCGACAGAGTGCCCTCAATTGCCGATATGGATGCCGACGCTTTGCACAGACGGGGGATGAGGACGATCGAGCTGGATAAGTGGACAAGGCTCGCTCTCGCTTGGAGGTGTATAACACGCTGTGCTCTGGGCTCACAGGCCCTTGTCTTATTAAGTCACATGACTCATTAAGGCGTGAAGAATATTTGATCACTCCAGTGGTAAAAGTAGTAAACAAAACAAAGGTGTTCTTCGACTTCCCTCTGCTTCTTTTTTTTCCTCCTTTGTTTCCCTATCTCGGTGTCGTCAAGTTATTTTTTTTTTTTTTTTTTTCTCGATCCGTCTATCGGTTACAAGCACCATTGTTTTGCCGCCGACTACTCAAACGATCTTTTATCAAGGATACTGTGATCCGGAAGGCTGGCCTTAAGAATACTACTATCCAACAGCCATGCTCAAGATAACCGCCGCCAACCGCAGCAATTTGAGTAGACTTGTGCCCGCGTGCCAAGGCTATGGTCCCAGCAACGTGCGCACCTTCAGGACATCATCTATATCATTCAAGGATGTCAAGGCCACTCCAAAGGCCACTCCAAAGTCCATAAAGAAACACTTTCCAGAACATATCGTGAAGACGACCCATGCTACTCCCAGATTTAAAGACCGTAAAGGGGCTGAACGCACTTTTGAATCGAGGACAAGCGACTTTACAACAAGACATGACCGATCTATTCCTACGCGACATGTGTCCACGTCAGAATATGCCGGAGAGCGCAGGGCACATTTACCATCGGGACGGCGAGCATCAAACAAGAATCATCCCGAGGAGTCGCCATCACAACAATTTATGGCGCAGCGAGAACGTGCAATAGCTTTTGCGCGGTACTTGACAGAAAAAAAGACCCGCGAAGCTATGCGCGAGAAGGCGCAGATAGACTCTAAGGATATCTCAAAGCCGATCTACACCTACCAGTCGCCCAAGCTTATTCCTGGAGATGTCAGCGACCTCTTTGGACCAGAGTCGATTCAGAACCGGGACGTGCTACCGGGAGACTTTGTCGAAGTTCGCAGGTATATATTATCAATTCCATTTTGTTCCGCATCCCGTATTCGGAAAATTCGTATGCCACAAGCACTTAAACATACCTTACTTTTTTTAATTATCAGACAGGGAAGGGCAACCTATGGAATATATGTTCGAGGGTTTGACCAGGCCGAAGGGCGATTACAATCCACTAGTGTCGTCTTGGGCGATCATATATTGGAACACAGGACAGCAGATGTGGTCTTCCGCATTCCTGGATTCCTTTTTATGGATAAGTTTAAGACTGCGGTGGGACATTGGGACGTGGATGCGAACCCTGCCACACCACCAGCTGGTTCTGGAAAGATTGCAGCAGCATTTGCGGACGAGTCAACACTGATCATGGGCACTTTCTACACCAAGTTTAACACCGTCTACGACACTTTTTGGCACAAGAGAAACCAGACCTCGTTTACCGTAACCGAGGCAGCGAAATATGTTTTCGGCAAGGAAGGCGAGAATGCAGTATCATTGACCTTGCAGGAACTGTACGCCACGCACTTGTACCTGACTCAGGATGTCAATCTACTGAAGTTTGTTCCCTCGGTGGCCGTTCGATGGACAGGTGAATTTGCCATGCGTCCGCCAAAGGAGGTCCAATTGACGGAGACCGTGATCGGCTGGATGCGCAAGGACGATTCAAGACTTGGCCAATTCCTAGAGAAAGCCAAGGTGTTGGTCGACAGTTTTCGACAAGGCGACAAGTCTGTGTGGAAGGATACCATGTTCACTGAATCGGATCGGACTCTAATTGAGTTCGTGAGACAGACGGCTTTCAACGGATACAGCGAGATTTTCACCTCGCCTCACCTCGCTTATCTCCCCAAGTTACTGCGACCTCTGGCAGCGTATGATGATATTGACGCAAGGACGGCATTCATGTTTTTAAACGAAATCGGAATTTGGCCGAGCTGGTACAACATGGAGATCAATCGGTCGGCAGTCTCATTGACAGCCAGTCTAGAAGAGGAGCAAGCTATTCTGGACCGGATAAAGAAGCTAAACCCAGAATGTTTACAGCAGGACTTCGAGAACGACATTGCACGCATCAAGGAGGCTGCTACTACTACTGACGTCGAGACAAAGCAGAAAGAGAACACAAAGTCGTCGACACGGATAGGATCGAAGGCTATAGTCCTGCAGGATCCCACAGAGATTTACAGGCGCGATCCGTGCGATTCGATTCGCCACGATTTCGGTGATAGTCCCATCTATGCTATCGACGACCCCACTGCCTCGGAGCTGGACGATGCTTTTTCGATGGAACCTGTCCCGATAACATCATTGACGCCAAAGGCGTCGACCTGGATCCACGTTCATGTTGCAGACCCAACTTCCATCCTCCCGCCAATGCATGAACTCTCTCGGTTGGCTGCAGAGCGCGTTCAGACCGCTTACCTACCCGAGAGGACCTGGCCCATGTTACCCCGCGATCTGACAGAGGAAACGATGAGTTTGAAAAACGACGGCAAGCCCAAGAAAGTCATGACGTTCTCAGCCAGGATCAGTGATGTTAACGGCGAAATCCTCGAGTACAAAATTCGTCCCGGCTACGTCAGGAATGTCGTTACGCTCAACTACGACGATGTGGACGATTACCTGACGTGGAACCGCATTCACGGTGGAAAGGAGGAAGGTTCTCGTGTTCGGAACTCTGTTATGAGTATGCCGGTGGAACGGTCTATGGATCGGCAGTACTACCGTGAGAGGACGGGCACTATCAATCCCGAGAACGGGGAGATGATTAAGGAGCTACAGGGGCTTCAAATACTTTCTCAAAGGCACCAGGACTACCGATTGAGCAAGGGAGCCTTCAACTTCAACCTCGGTCGGCCCATGGTTGAGATCACGCCTTATCCTCTTCAACCGGTGCCAGAGGAGGGTTGGAAGATGCCCACGGACTATTCGCAGTGGCAGGAACCTCATATCAGCTGTCGCTTGGACCCGGCATTCGCATCCCCTGCAAGAATGATGGTTGCTGAGTACATGATCTTGGCAGGAAGAGTCGCTGCAATTTTCTCGCAGGAGCACGGTCTGCCAACAATGTATAGGAACCAGCCGCCACCTGCCGAAAAGTACAGGACCAAGTTCGATGCAGCCATCCGCGAGAAGACCAACCCGCTGACGGGCATGATAGACATTACAGACATGCTGCCATTGCGGCCCTATATTCCTGGTGCTGAGATCTCGACAACGTCGCTCGGTCACTGGTCAATGGGAGTTCACGACGGATACTGCAAGGTGACATCGCCCCTTAGGAGATACTCGGATATGGTTTCACATTGGCAATTGAAAGGGGCCCTTTTGAATCAGCACCGGTCGATGGATGCTAGCACCTCCCCTGTGTTCAATTTGGACACCCTGACCTCATTGACTGGTGTCATTCGAGACCGTGAGCGCATGCTGGGTATGCTCGAGTCTCGCACGGTCAAGTTCTGGGTTTATGAAATGCTCCGCCGTCGAATGGAGAACGGGCTGTCAAACATCTTTGATGGCATAGTTCTGAATCCGACTGGGGACGGGTATAATGTACTGTCAACAGCCTTGGGCTTCCAAACCGTTGTGAAGGCCGAGGAGGAGGAGGCTAAGAGCCTTGCGATCGGATCCAGGGTTAAGTTCGAGGTCAATAACTGCGTTCCGCAGAGACCCTATATTGGTGCCAAACATATTGCGGCACTTTGAACATAAAGCATTATCTACTTTTGAGAATAAAGATGAATGCGTTTTGTAATATTTATCCATAAATATTCGGAACTACTTGAGCTAGGACTATTGTAAAGGCGAGGGCGATGTTCGGTGTATTGTGAAAGGGCGGCAGATAATGAGATGGGTTGCTCATTCTAGTTGACTGGCTCTGCGCTGAGGGCGGCTGCCGCCTGTGATGCTGGCACTTCTGGCAATGACTCTGGCTCTGCAGAGACCATGGTCACTCCCTCCTTCTTTAAAACCGCAATCTCGTCGTCCACCTCTCGGGGGCTCTCAGCGCGCGCACCATTGGTCACTGCTGTAGTCGAGCTCGTGCTGGAGCTGCTGCTCATGCGGTTCATGGTCAGACTCATGCTGCTGCGACCTGAAGGCCATGCGCTTACTGTCGGCGCTCTAGTTGGCGACATGGGCAGAGAGCTGCCAAGTTCACCCGACCCGACCGACTGAGAGGTGCGGCGACTCAGCTGGCGTACCGGGGATCCAGTCCTGATATTCAAGCCTGAGGCCAACTCATCCCCCTCCTGGAAGAGTGAGGGGTTATGCTGGGCCACAGAGCCTGATCGTGCACGGGTGCCAGGGGATTTGATCCCCTGTAGCGAGGCCACGCGACCCTTGTTCGTCTCCAGCTGGCCCAAGCGTGCTTTGGCTTCCTCCAGCTCTCCCTCGAGCTCCATCTCACGCGCACGCAGGTGCTCCAGCTCTCCAAGCTCGCCTTCCAGGAAAACATTGCGCTCATGCAAGATTTGCATCTCCTCCAGGCGAGGCTCCAGTTCCTCCATGGTCTTGATTTGCTTCTCGAGATGTAATGTTCTGGAACGCAACAGCGCCACTTGCTTGGCTTGACCCTCCAGCTGCGGCAGACGCACCTTGACCTTCTCCAGCTCGACGGACACACGCTCGAATTCCTCCTTGTAATCTGGGGAGATCTTGGCCTGCTCAGCAAGGAGTGCCTCCAACTCCCGATTCCGGCTCGCCAGGAACTCAAGTCGTCGGTCATCCTTGTCCTTGGATCTGAATGACTCGAACTCTTTCGTCAGCAGTGTATGTTGGTTGTTTGCAATGTTGAGCCGCTCCGACAGGTCCCAGTTTGAATGATCCAACTCTGCGTTGGTCGTCTCAAGCTCATGGATTCGATCCTGTAGGCTCTTGACCAACGCAACCTGACCCTCCATATCCTGCAATTTCTCCACATGCGCATCAGCAGCAACCGCGCGCGCCTCCATCTCGACCAAGTCGGAGCGAATCTTTGGCAGAGCGGCACATTCCTCCTCGAGAGCAGCGCACTGGCCTTCGAGCTCCCAGACACGCTTTTCGTATTCCTTGGCACGGACCATCAAGGCTTCGTTCTTGTTCCAGAGCTCCTCCGTCGCCACCGTCTTGGCGCTGAGCTCTTCCACGAGACGGTTGCGCTCGTTCTCGAGATCAACAAAGTGAGCTGGTCTTTGTTGGTGCTGCTGAGCATAGGGCTTCTTCTCCAGCTCCCAAGACTTGATCTTGAGCGCATCGCGTTCGGCTGTCAGGGCCGAAACTTCATTCATGAGTCTTTGAATATGATGGCTTTGTTGAGTCGCACTACTGACATTACTACCGCTCCGTTGGTGCTGCTGGCCCCGGTGGCCGTTCATCGATGATGTCTCTAGGGAATCCACAGAAGAGGCACACGATTCGAGCTCCTTGACCCTCGAGAGTAGGAACTGGTTGTTGAGTTCAAAGTCTTGCAGCCGTGCAACTTGATGGGTCGCCTCCATGTGCTGGAGCTCTAGTTTGTGATTTGCTTCCCGCAGCTCCAGATTCTTGCCTTTGACCCTCTCCAGCTCTGTAGTTGTGCTTCGAAGCAGTTTTTTAAGCTGGTTTATCATGTTTTCTTCAGCGGTCGATCCAGTTCCATCGTTGTCTGAAGTGGCGGGTGAGAGAGGGAGGGCCGCAGCTGTGGCGGAGACCAACTGGGAGAAGTGACGATCGAGACCAGACTCTAGTTTATCAGAGATTTGCCGCATGAGGTTGATACGGAATTCCTCTGGGTTGAAGTCGGCAGGAAGGGAAGACATGGGTTTCGGCGACATTTCTGAGGCTGTGAAGGTCGAGCGTTCCTGACGCATCAACGAGGTTGGAGAGAAGACCTTGGTGTTCACAGTGAGGCCCTGGTGGGGGCCTTCTGCTGTTGGCGAGGAGATCCCCAGGCCAGAGATCATGGCATCCTATTTGATATTACAGACATAATGCATCACTATTAGTGTTTCTTTTGTTAGATTGGTCGTGGTACCCCTGCAGTCCCTGAAATCGATCGCCTTTTTTTTTTTTTTTTTTTTTTCTTGGTGTGTATTGTGCATGCATGTCTGTTATATGCTGTTGTACGAGCTGGAGTCTTTTTTAAGACTGAATGGGAGAGAAGAAAAGACGCTAATTTTCTCACCCTGGACATGTCCACAGTGCTTCTTCTCGACGGCCGGTTGCTATTGTCGCCGCTATGATCCGAAGCAGCATAATCCGAATTGGTCGATTTTGCAAAAGAGGGAGTGAATGAGGCTGCACGCGGGTTCATGCTGGTCCTCTTTGTGCTGCTGGCGCTCATATGGTCCTTGTGAATATCTGCAGGGAAGGATATATTAATTGAGACAAAACAGAAAACGCGTGGGTGTCAGTACAACAAAGCAGGATAAAGTAAGTTAGGGCAGCTTCAGCTAGAGGGCGAGCAAATGAAGGGAGAAGTGGGTAAATGGCCTTTGTACGAACCCAGACAATGCGACTATAGGAAGTATACAAGAGAGGCGTGAAGTGAAGTGTGAAGGGGCGTTTGCAATTGGCGAAAAGGGAGTATGAGGGTTTTCGCGAGAGTTCCAAAAGGAGGGAGAAAGACCAATTGCCTGTGGTAGTGGGTGGTGGAGGGCTGAGAAGAGAAAAGAGAAAGAGGGGGCAGAGGCGGAGGAGCAGGGACAAAAGGAGATAACAAAGATGGATGAAAAGCACCGAGTTGGTATCGCAAGAACACAGGCTGATATGGGTATATTTTTAAACAAAAGGAAAGGGCCTTCAATTGAGTTGCGACTCAAAGAAAGAAAAAAAGGGTGGGGGAACAAAAAAAATAGGGAGGAAAGAAGAAGGAAAGAGAAGAGAGGAAAGAGGGAAGAGGGAAGAGAAATAAGAATATTTGTATATAAAAAAAGAGAAAAAGTGGGAGGGAGGGCGGAAAAGGTTGCTGGTACAGGACAAAGAACAAAAGACGAAGGACAAAGGACAAAAGATGATTGCCATGCGAAGAGCAGGATGTGTCCTGTCCACATGCTGCTGTAGTCGGTGTCCCCAGACCAGGTTTAAGACGAGGAGGCAAGGCAAGTCAGGGCAAAGGTATGACATACCGCTGGTGATTATGGTGCTATTGTTGCTGTTACTGTTGCTGCTACTGCTGCTGACACTGTTGCTGCTGGCATTAACGGTGGTGGTGGTGCCGAAGGTCGATCGCTTCCTGTTGAATGCAGGCCTCTATGTGCAACCATAAAGTCAGTCAGTTTATGTTATGTTACAAAAACGATGGTGTGACAAATTCCTCCGTCCAATTCAGGTCCAACTGATTATCCTCCCTCCCAGCGGGATGGAGGAATACAGTCTTTCTGTGGTTGCTGCAACCAACTCTTTTCCTTTCTTTTCTTTTCTTTTTGGCTTTGGCCTTGGCCTTGGCCGCTCATTCGCCCTCGCCTGAATTATCCTCGCTTGCCACTCTTCACAAGGACAGGTCATTGGCGCGTTTAATAAGAAAATGATAAAAATAAAGACATGTCCTTTTGATACTGAGCGAGATCCATTGGGGGCAGGCATGACATGCCGAGAAGGGAGACGGAGGCATTACTAGCAGCAAGAAGGATGGACTATGTAGAATGTGGTATGGATGGAGGGCGAAGTACCGCGCTGAACATCATTGTGCCATGTGCGACATGGTGTACATGTACACAACATGGCCCCCTTCCGCCACAACACCGCATACTTCCTCCTGTTTTCCATATACTCTCTCTCATGCCTTTGCTCTTGACCTTTTTTTTTTCCCGCTCGTTCTGTACGTTCACACGAGTCTTGAATCACACAGCACTTTTTTTTCTCCTCAGTATTCAATGCTCAGATCCCTGCTCTCTTGCTTCCTGATCTGATGACACATCAGATGAGCATCTTGCTGTCTACCTACGTCTCATTGCTCACTTGTCACCATTACTGAAAGCGGCACACAGCCCCCACAAAAAAAAAGTAAAAAAAAAAAAAAAAAAAAGCTCACCTGAACCTGGTATCCCGATGGAAAGGTAGCCAATGGCTCATCCTCGATAACCATCTTCATGTTCGACATTGGTGCGGGTTCAGCACGAGGCATGTTGCAGGCGATATTCAACTGTTTCTCAACCTCTATCTCATAATCCGATTCAGGTTTAGTGGCGACGTTCGGCATTTTCAGCAAGTTCTACGAAGCATTTGAATATAGGGAGGGTCGTTGTTTGGTGAGTGCGGTGAGTGTGATATAGGACGTGTCCGTTTATTGCCATGATCACTCAGAGAAGTACCTCGGACATGACATTCTTGGCAACAAGCGTCGTGTAGCGTGCACGATTCTGGTTCACCTGCTCTTCCGTCAATGTCGACATGCCCGTGGTTGGGGAAAGAAAGACCGCAGCAGTGGCTGCGTGTTGGGGCAGGTTGATATTGATTCGGCGCGGACGATTCGAGGATAGCATGAAGATAATACGTCAGAATGGATTGGATGTGTCTATTTGCTCCTGAATAATAAGAAGATGGTAGCGTTCTCTGAGCAAGAATATGATACAACAAGTGTTTCAAGGAAGGAATGAAGAACGAGAGGACGGATGAAGAAGGAGAGAGGGAGATGGTTGAATGAGCTGATCAGCCCAGGGTTACAGAAAAACCTTAACCCCAGCCGGAGTTCCATTTCCTTGTGGGTCTAGGGGAGTAGGCAAGCAGAAACGAGACGAGCCAGTCGTTTGCAAGACACTCAGGGGTCATAATCCGCCGATCAATCAAGACAGATCCGTGCCTGAACCTGGACAGTGCCACGAGTGCTGCAGGGGATGCCTGTGTTTGTTCCAGAGTCATTTGTTCCTGGTCTATCTCCATATCATTTGCCATTCGCTCTTCGGCGCCAACGTCATTTTCTTTACTGAAGCTGCATGCATACAAAAATACACTCAGCATAGTCATCGCCATAGACACAAAATGGTAGATATCTGTTGGTCACTATTCGTCTTTATTTTAGACGTCTAAATGGCAAAAAGAACCAACCACTACGCTGTATTGACATCCGGCGACTCCAGTTTTTCATCATTTAAGCCTTGGGCTCCAATGGGACTTTGAGATTCTGCTCAACAACACTCTCGATCTTCTTGTTTGCTCCAAAGCTGTGTTACATTTAAAAGGAACCGAAAGATGGTCTTCAATCAATAAACCTGTGCGTGGCCAGAGTGCAGTATGAACATGCAAATGCACCGAGCAGGACTTACTGGTGATGTTGGAGGAAGCGGTATCCTTGGACCAGCTGGGCACATTCATTGGTAGCGTGGCATGCAAAAAGCAAGTAGTTGCGAGGCTGAACCATCCAGGCGAAGCGCATGAACAGCATAGAGTACACTGACAGGGCCACGGTCATATTGCCAGAGATAAGCTCAGGATCCTTCTTAAAATCAGCAATGGCAGCGAGAGGAAGACCCCAGTTCGCGACTATAAATGCAGTTCAAGATTGGCAGATGTTTGTTAGCGATGTCAAATATTCAATGCATCTTTGCTTCATACGCATTTAATCCCAGCATCTTGCTTCCCGACTTACCAGGACCCCAGAAGTGCTTTTAAAAGGTGTACAGCGTGGCCGAGAAACAGAAGCGTAAAAAAATAAAAAAAATGTTTCTGTCGTTAGAGATCGTTGGTCCTCGTACACATTCATCCAAATCTAGTGGCGAATTGAATTGGTGCCGCTATTGTGATAGCAACACCGCCGATCCTTATGATCGAGTAGCAAAATAATCTTTGGCAATAATATGCCAAGACTATGATGAATATCGCAAGTTCCATTGATAGAGTCCTGGTACGATGCACATCGCAGCAACGCCCTCCTTCCTGAGTTGCTATCCACTCTGAAAGCTGTCGACTGTCCCCTGTAACATTGATATAACGCTGTTTTGATCAAAATGTATCCTCTACAAGGATTAGAACCTACAGTGCTAATAGTACAGAATGCAAAGAGGAGTAATACTTTGTCAGCTTAATTGAACGTTTTCACGATAAGACTCTCAGCATCGACGTTCTGGAGCAGCGATACATCCAGAAAAAAATATGAGTCAGGGTAGAAATGTGGATATAGGAGTGAAGCGGATGTTCCTTACCTCATGAGGTATTGCCTGAACTCCTTGCTGGAGATCTTCTGTCCAAGTTGTGATGCCCAAGAAGCCATTGCAAATGGTATGAGAGGTGATGAGGGATTGTTGGGTTGAAGAAAGGATGTGTGGGGTGTGTGAAGAGCCAGCCCTTATCTCCGGAAAAAATTGAAAGTGGCTCGCTTCTCGCCTAAATGACGTCACTGAAGGCACTAAAAAGTCGTCCTCCCTTGCCTTGCCCTTGCTCTCGTCCCACTGCGCTACTCCTGCTGCTGCTGCTACTGCCCCCGGCTTCTGTGTGCGGCCTTGCGTCTTGCATCCGAGGGTAGTGCCCATCCTTATCTACTGGTTTAAGATAGAGCGGTCGCTGTTGATGGAGTAAATGGCCATGTATCGCATTGCAGATGTTGTGTCCTGCCATAATATCGCGGTGCATGGAAGTGCCGCAATTTAAGCAGTGTAGCCTACGGATCTCGGCCTGCCCGACAACTGCTCGCAGGTTGGACACTGTAGTATTCGTTCACTCCAACCGCGATGTATCCAAGTGACCTGGCCTATGTGAGCGTTAATAAATAAAAAAAGCATCAATAATATCAGTACTATATTCACAGTATCCAAACATGATACAGATCTGCATAGACTACTTGTTTGATGGTAACAAAGTAGGACTGGAAGGACTCGTGCAATGAGGAAAGCCTAGTCTTTGCTGAGAACTTGCCTAGGCCGACTCCGATCCAAACCTTGCTAGTCCCATCCCTTTTTCTGCCGAGAAGACTCTCTGCAATGAGACTGTATTCGGTATCCCCCGCTCTTCTTGCGTCCCACTTGTGCATCTTGAACCGAATATTGCCGTTGTAGAACTCCTGTAGTAGCTCTTCCACTTTCTCCAGCTCTACGACATGGTTTGTGAAGCTATCGCCCTGACCACGTAGTGGTGACAGCTTAGTCTTAATGCTTCTGATGGATTCGATTCCATCGCCTGGCATGATATTCTTCTGCTCTTCCATCCTTACCGAGCGACATATCATGTCATGGGCCCATATAATGAACCTTTTAGTCATTCAAGTCATGCTGCCGTACTGGTATGCCAAAATGGGGATCTTTCGCAAAGGGAGGATATATACAGAATTGGTGATGGGGCGACTTCCGGGGTAGGGATCTGCAGCTTATCTTTTTCCGCTTATGAGTTGCACTTTTATTAGTGATTCTCACCGGTGAACGGTTAACCGCGGTGAACAATTTTTTTTTTTGAGATCTTTTCACCGGTGAATTCCACGTATGGTAATAGTTTTCTATATCACTGTATTTCACTGGTCTTTGTTCACCGGTGAGAATCACTAGCCTTGAAAGAACCTCGGTCGGTTAGATATTGGCACCTTCCACAGGACGTCTTGCCTCATCGAATCGCATCCACCATCGGAGGCACGGACTATTACTCGACCGAGATTCGAAACGTTGTGGAGATCAGGCAAGATGTCGAAGATCTTTGGGGTTGTGAGCCGGAGCAGATTAAGGTTCTGGATCTCGACCTCGGCCAGTCGTGTGTGCTCCGAGCAATCGCGCTACTTTCCGAAAATGCTCGCGACAAAGGGGCTCTCGATATCACAGCGAGGAAGCAAGGCGACTCTGATACCGATGTGGACATGCAGGACCCTTGCGAAGGCTCAGCACTAGCTACTGACGATTATGATACCGATGTTGATATGGAGGGCCCTTGCGAAAGTTCAACACCAGCCCCTGCTCCAACGCTAGGCCCTGCTTCCGCCACCTACTACAACCTGGTTGTGAACCAGAAAGCCGTTTACCAGCCAATCTTCAAGCATCGACGCTGGATAGAAGAGCAAAAATAAATCGTCCCAGGCGACTGAATAGAATCCACCAGCGACATCGGGGCCAAGCTGCCACCACAGCGCGGTGAGGGAACCTGCTTGGTGATTTATCTTACGGAACTGGAGAAAGTACAGGTATGACTGAATGAGTTTTACAACGGCAATAATCGGCTCATGAAGCACAAGTGGGACGTAATAATGGCAAGGGATGAAGATTCACGAAGCGTCTACTCAATGTACTTAGTAGGTCGATCGGCAGGAAGGGAGATGAAGTCAACAAGGTTATTATTAAGATCCGTCTAGGCAAATTTTCGATCAAGACGAGACTTTCATCTTTGCATGAGTCCTTCCAGTTGTATTTTGTTCAGAAGGTAAGGTACTACCACTGGAGATCCGAAGTCGCGTAAAATCGTTTTATGTTTTTATTGACTTTAACTTTATGCTAATGTACTCTAGGCCAGGTCCCTCGGTTACATCGTGGTTGGGGTGAACGAGTCCTATACGTTCAATAAGTGTCCCTCTTGCAAGAAGTTTGTCGAACAGGTCGAGATCCGCAGAATATATTGCTCGAACTGCAAGAAACTCATGCATCGTAATATCAGGGCTGGCCGCAACATATGCAATGTCATTCGTAACCATTTACTCCACCAAGAGCGACCATTGTATCTCCAGTCAGTAGATGAAAAAAGGAACTAGCCTTGGATGCAGCAAGATGTAAGGCCGCACACAGAAGCCGGAAGCAGCAGCAGCAGTAGAAGCGAGGTGGTTCAAAGGCGAGGGGAGCTGGTGGGCGCAGGCGAGCAGCCTCCATGGCAGGGCTGCGAAAGTCCGTAGTAGACTAGATATCGAACCTGATGTGTGTCACAACCACACTATTTTCAAGAGTGTCCTGTGACCGCTTTCAGGATGTAAATTTCAGCACGGGCCACGCCACGTGGGAAATAACGTTACGCCACCGCCACCACATCCCAGAAAGAACGCGTCAATAAAGGGATGCCAACTGCTAGAGGTGTTCTCTTTACCCTTCACTCACACATCGCTAACCAGCCCTGACCATCATCATGAGTGACAACACGTTCAGATTCTCTGATCTCTACTTCTGCATGTTCCTATGCATTCTGTCCATCGTCCTCTCCCCTGCCTTCTTCGAGAACGGCCCAGAGCACCCTCCACGCCTGACAGAGCGACGTACGATCAAACATAACGCGACAAAAGTGAACAGAATCACTGCTGTGAACACAGCCCCCAATTCTACTTCCAAAACGCCTGCCCCCTGTGTCCCCGCAGCGTCTACCCCTTGTGCCGCCGCAGATGCCGACATTCCACCCCAAGCGGCCACTGCCCCCGCTGATACTGAGAGCTCATCCCAAGCGAACACTGCCCCAGCCTCCAGTCTCCCACGTCGGCCTACAGCTGCTCCTCCACAGGACTATAGCGAGTTCTCTGCACACCTCAATGAGCTCGAAACCATGCTCGAGGAAGAAAACACCGGCGCGATCCCGACGGCCCTCCGGATTGGCCCACAGATTCAGGAACCTTTGAACAACAAGCGTGCATGGTCCTTGGTTGCACAGGAACATGTAGGCATCTCGTCGTCGATGTCATCCGAGTGCAGAGAATCCACTACGACTACCATTCCTCAAAGCACCGAGCTCTCCGCGAGCGCTACTTCATCCTCATCGTCGCCGCGGCCCTTCAAGAAAGTCAGGTTCTCCCCTGACACCTTCGAGCCTGCTGACAGCAGCGAATATCGCCGCTTATCAAAGAGACAGCGGGAGTCAAGCGAAGAGGCACAGGAAGCCCGGAGAAAGAGGCGCAGAATGGCAGCCATCAACAAAATGCTGGAAACCGAGCCGGCATACAGAATGGTACACCTTGTGAATATCGTCACCCAGACCTCGACAGTGATCTTCGAGCCGAATCCAAAAGCAGGCACCAGGCGCAGCTCAGCCCGGCTCAGAGAAAGACCATCGAGCGCTATCTCTAGCGC